GGGGATACAAAAGATTCTATTTTGTAAATTACTAGTTTTTGTTGGAATGACCCTAGGAATCTTTCTGAATTTTCTCAGGATTTGATAATATTCTCTGCTTAAAAGGCTACTGCTGGGAATTTCAAAACATGCTATTTTTGCATTTTAATCTGCAAAAGACAGTGGAGCTGCTATTTTACCTTCTTCCTTCATTAGTGATGGTAGGATGAGATAGGAAAAGTTTGTACTCATACACAATATTTAATATTGTATTATTTTGTTACCAATTTTATACATTATATAATGCTCATCTTACCAGAAAGTGCTTATTAGCAAGTATGCTACAAAAGGCAGGAATTGGAAAATGTTTATAATGATAAGAAAGCTATTAATTTTCCTTTTTAAAGTTTGACACATCCCTGTATGTGCTTTTGAGAATATTTAGGATGTTTTTTTTCCTGAGCTGTACTTCAATTTTATAGGTTAGTAGAAAATGACCAGAACTCACTCTTCCATCAACACAGCTAGAACACAATGTTTCCATTAAAAAAAGGAATGCTTATACAGAAAAATTATATATTAACTTGCATTGTGTAAGGAAAGAATCATTTTAAGTAATGTGTTGTTCCTTGGGTAATTAGTACAAAACACCTCCCACAACCACTTTCTGTAACTTAAAATGCAAAGTGTTATACTGAATTCTGCCATACACTTCACAAGGAATGTATCTTTCAAAGGATGAACATTTTCCAGAAAAGCTAGAAGTAATCAGAAGTATAAAAAAGATGAAAATGAAGCAGATCTTAGTGATCTACATGATATCAAATGAATGTTTTGTCACTTTAGTAAAATTCAAATTTTTTTTAAAAGCTCATAGTATAACTAAAAATATTAAGTTAAAAAACAGCAAAAACCAATGAGAGTTATCCAACAATGGTGATCGCAATTCTGGAAAAAAAAAAAGACAACCATCCTCAACTTGGGTCTTTAGGTAAATGAAACTTAAAATAAGTTCACATAAAATGGGGACTTTTAATTTGGCAGTGGTCTGACAAAGACTTCTGAGTGAACAAAGTCTAGAACTGAAAATAAAAGACTGAAGCAACTCAAACTGGTTCACAGATACATCTATAGAAAACTTGATTATTGCCAAATGGAAGCAAGTAACTGTAGATGTGAAAAGGTGGTTTAAAAAAAAATTGGTTCTACTGATGGGAAAATAAATGGATGCCAGTAATAATACAAATGACTTCCACTTATAAAATTACCTTCTTATGAAGCTCATTAAAGGGAAACAACTTAACTAAACCTAAAAAAAGAAAAAATAAAATCAATCTTTGAAAGTTTGGCAGTATATATGCACATTTAAGTGCATTCTATAAAAGGAATACTTCAATATACATTATTCAATTTATCTTGTATATTCAAAGTTCAAATAGTCGTATTTCTAAAAATACTGAATTTGTCATTCAGAAGGCTGAATGCATTACAAATTTAGATCACAAAGTCTTTAGAAAATTCTTGAAAATGGAAGCAAAATCACAAAGATTTTTGAGGCCTTGGGGAACAATCAGCAGAAAATGGTAACACTAACATATTTAACACAGACGTTTGTCTCCTGCGCTATTGAAGATAGAGAATATATATGATCCTTAACTGTTCACAGAACAATAAAACAAAGTCTTCATAGGTACAAATTTCTATAATCAGAAGATCTCAGATCATTCTGAAAAATCCAAACGTGAACAAACATTCCCTTTCTAATACACCTAACAAGTGGCCATCTAGTATCTGATTGAAGTCTTCCAGAGAGGGAAGAAACACAACTTCTGGAAATGTCCCTGTTCAACTTGCTTACTGAATGTTCAAAATTCTTTGAAGAAAAGCAATCAAAGTCCTCTTCCACATGAAAGCCCTTAAAGTACAGCTATGTTCCCAACTAAGTCATTTCTCCAGAATAAAAATATTTGCTTCCTTCAGTCAGTCCTCATATGACACAGTATCAAGGCTGCTCACCAACCTGGCCACTCGTCTCTGGATACACTATAATTATTAACGCATTAATGCACATTCTAAAATCTCACACCCAGAACTGAACAAAACACTCCAAAAACGGTCTGGCCAGGGCAGAATACAAAAGGACTATCACCAACTTGTCCTACCCACCCCTATCTTGTGCTTATGTTCTAGTTTGTCAAGATCCTTTTTGATCTTTGCTGTCATCCAATGTGTGCTATCTCTCCTGGTTATGTGTCATCTATGTCAATATGGTACAGGATTAAGCACAGATAAGTGGGGCACTCTAGGACAAGCATCCTTTCAAGTTGACAAAGAATGATTATGATAACTACTATGTAAGGTAACCAGTGAGATATTTTTGATCTGCACTCTGCCATCCAACGTATGCTATCTCTACATTTGCAAATTTCATAAGTCACTGATTAACAATGTTCAGGGCCCAGTTTAGATCTCTCAGGTACTCAAGAAAGGCTTCTGATCAATTTGACATGGAACCATGGAATAACTCCTCTCCACAGTAGACCAGCTTTAAATGCACTTAATTTTATTTCTCCATCTTTCCCATAAAAATAGTATGAGACTGTCAAATGCTTAGTTCAAATCTAGGTAAACTAAAGTATACCACAATTTATTTACCAGTTCAAAAATTCAAGAGTAATGAGGTTACATGGCAAATTCTCAATGGATACTTCCTTTTCTAGATGTTCTTCCCGCATGCCTTTATAACATACTGAAGAATTTTGCAAGGATTTGAATTTAAGCATAGTGACCTGTATTTTACTGACTGTTTGTTTCCTCTTTTTGAAAACTGTAACATAATATCTTCTTGCAGTTCCTGGGCTACCTCTGCCACATTTCATGAACTTTCTAAAGACACTGACAATGGCTTAGCACTCACATTCATGAACTATTTCAGCACCATGGGAAGTAGTTCATCTGGGGTCCCAAAGTGGAATGGTGGCATACTCCTTGCTCAGAAGGCTTAAGCAGGGGCTCAGTGATCACATGAGGTGAGGGATGTTATAGGGACTTCTTAGATCAGTGTCAAACAAATAGAAATGGGGCCCATTAAATCATACATAAGGATCCCCGTGGGCTGCATATTGACTTGGAAAACCATACACTTATATATTTCTTTTTTTATTAACACATCAACACATTAAAATTGGATGAGAACTACATTTTAATATGGTTTGGGTTGTACTCAGGAGCACATACAGCCTACGACATTTTTGGACTGGATGACCCCTCAAATCCTTTCCAATTTTCAACTTTAGGGATAAGGCTCTGTCTCCTTCCTTAGCTTTGTTCTTATCCACACCTTTTATCCTTTTCAATTCCTATTAATTATTTTTGTTCTACTCATCACAGAAGAAAGATTTTCCTACTTGGGGGATATAACAGAAATAATTTTGCCTTCTCTCCACTGTCAATTATTATTGTCTAAAAGCCCCTTAGTAAAGATCTTTTTCCTGTTTTTTTTCCCTCTGTACAGCTTAAAACAACAACAACAACCACCCTACCTCTGTTTCCTTGTCAGTCTTAACTACAATATACATGACGTATTATATTATATGCTGGGTTGTACTCAAAGAATGTGGACTATTTTAGTGTTCTTATATAATACCAAATTGTTTTTAAGAAAGGTTGGACCAATTCACACCTCAACTAACAGCTTCTAGAACTTCTCCAGCACTTTTGAGTATTTCCAGCTTTTCTTACCTTCTCCACTTTTGGGGGTAGAGAAGACTATAAAACTTCAAAATGGTTTTTAATATGATTTACATTTATTATAGTGTATGGTAACATTATTTATATGATCAAATTTGTATTTATTCTTTTGAAAGCTGTTTGTTCATATCCTTTATAAATCATGTGGGAAATAGTTTTTCATCTTATATTTGTTTCAATTTCTTATACATCATAGATAGAAGATTTTTTTGTCACTATATATAAAGATTTTCCCAAACTTGATAATCTTTTTATAAGCTGATATTGATTTTGTTTGTATAAAAGCTTTGATTATGAAATTTAAAAATTGTCCAACTCTTTACTTAAGAAATATTCTCTTACACACACAAAATCTGCTGCTTTCTGTTCTCCGCTTAATTTCCTCTACTATCCTTTCCAAAAGGATAACAAAAATGCACTTTGAGCTTGGCTAAGAAATAGTTTTGCCAGGGAACAAAGAAAACATTATGCACTATATACATATCACCAAAGTTCTCCTTGCTTCTCATTATTTTTTAGAAACAAAATCTTCAGTCTTTTGTTGTCCTCAGGTCTTGCTACTTACTGGTGACCAACATCCCTGTAAAAAACTCTCTTTACTTTATTAGCACCAGAACATCCACATCTAACTTAATCCTCATCTTTCAAATCAAATCCTAATCAGATTCAGTCTTGGGCCTTCTTCAAAATTCCAAAAACTTTCAAACAGTCTTCTTTATGATTCCTAATCCTCTGGTTGTCCCCACTGACTGAAGTGGGATTGTTTAATGTGAAAGGTTCAACTTTTCAAATTTAATGTGACAGCACAAATTCAGCTACTCAAAATTTTCTAAATTAATAATCTTCACAATGTAATTAATGTCACATATGAGAAAACTTGGAAATTCTGAGTCTACTGCACAGTCTAAAACAAACTATGTATTTCAATAAGAATCATGCAGTAAGGAGCTGGGACACACTAATACTAATGGTGAAAGCTCAAGAACAGGGAGCCAATAAAACTACAAATTTAACAACCACCCCAAAAACAGAACAAATCTGAAAAAGTCTGTATTTATAAGAACAAAAGCATATTAATAACCCATTAACTACCAAATTCATATTAAATATTTCCTATTTCCTAGATTTGTAATGTGTAACATTCTAAATGTTAAAAAAAAAAGCAATTGTAAAATCAAATGACATTTTTAAGTTTAAACGTTACTTAAAAGCATAACTGAAATCATTACATAATTCCCTTTCACATTTTGAATTAAAAATATAAATCTTACCTGGAAATTTTTTCTGATGCTTTTGTAATTGGTGTTCCAACAAAGGCATCAGGCAATTCTGTATCTGGGAGAGAGTATACTACAGGAGAAGTTTCTTCAATTTTAGGGCTATATAAAGAAGAAAAACTTTAACATCTCAATCTTAAATATGTGTAACATTAATTTTAAGAAATTAATCTATATGCAAATTTTAAATTTTATTATTTAATATTTCTAATTAAAGGAAAAATCTTAGTCCTCCAATCTATAAAGAACATAAAATATAATCATACTTCAAATGGATGTCATTCTGTTGGTATGGGCTGTCCTTCCACCAATGCAAATCAAAAACCCTCTATAACTTAGCAAATAGTCTTTAAGAGTTACTATGGTAGAAAAATTCATCAACCTGAGGTCAACCCAATGATGAGCCTAACCAAATTTAACACTAAGAAAATAAATATTAGGCTTACTCTGAGGAGAGATTAATCCATTCTTTGTATCTGTATTCCCAGCACAGTCATTGGCACAAAATAGGCACTTAATATCTACTTGTTAATTAACTGACTGAAGTAGAAATGTGCTGAACTTAAAATTATAAGACCTGGGGTTCAAAGCTCAGATCTGTCATTTACTATGGACAAGTTATTTAATTTAGGTCTCAGTTTCCCTTTTTGTACAACAAGGGCATTAGACTAAATGATGGCCTTTAAGGTCCCTTTTGGATCTAAATACATGACCCTATTATTATCTAGTTCATCCCTGGATTCATATTCAAAGTTTTATCAAGGTTGGTAGGCTGTGCTGTGTTGGCACGGTCTTGAAAAATAAGTCGCATTTCTGTGTCTCAATAAGGCAACAGACTAGTACTTTAGCGGAGGTATTATGTAACTGCAGAAGCAACAGAGATGATTGTGTATGGAGATGCAATGTGGACTGGGGGATAGAGAACTGGCCTTGGAGCCAAAAGCTGAAGATTCACGTCCTATTTTTGACTGTTTCTGGCTGTGCCATTTGTAGCGTCATGTGTTACCTCTCAGTGTACCAGCCAGACAACTCTCTAAAACTCTAAGCTGCAGGAAAAGTGCTAATTTATATTAGTGGAGTAAGTTTCCTCATCTTTCTGATTTTACAAGCATAATCCCAACTATATCTCTCCCTATCTTATGATATAATTATTTTTAAAGGTTAAAAAAAAAACCCACACAAAATATCACAATGATGCCTCTAGTTGTATTCTCCAATAATATTGATTTTTAAAAGAAGGTTGGCCTTTCTGAAGTAAACATTATACTTATAAGAAGTCTTTCTTAGACAAATATAGAAATTGCACAATTAAAGGAAGCATTAAAAAACAGAAATATACTCACCTATTATAAGGGGATAAGTTATTTTTCAGTTCATTCCCAACCCAAACCTCTCCAATTTTTGATAATACATTATTGATGAAGGCTGCTCTTGTTAGTATGGTTCCTCCTGTAGTTTGTTTTGCAACAGTAGATAGTGGCTTAGGTCTAGAAACTGAAAATAGGATTAAAAATTGAAAAGGATCTAAGAAATAACTTAGCCCAGCCTCTAAATGAAGCATGAACTTTCCTTACCACACCCTGAAAATGGACATAACACTTTTATCTGAACACATCCCAGGCATTTAGATGTACATTTGGTGGTCAAAGTGTGATTCAGGAAACACCTTCAGGAAGGCACATCATTTGTTCTTTGTATTCTCAGCACAGAGCAAATGTTTAGTGTTTGTTAAAATGAACAATCAAAAGAGAAGTTCAGAAAATAGGAATCATAAAAAGAGTAAAAGAATGAGAATACAGCTGAGAGAAGGGGAAAGGAAATAAGCATTTATATAGCACCTACCATAGTCCAGCTACTATGCTAAGCAATTTGCAAATATCTCATTTGATCCTCAAAACTACACTGGTAGGCTGATTCTATAATTGTTCCCATTTTAAAGTTGAGGAAACTGAGGCAGACAGAGATTAAGTGACTTTGCACATGGAGCATGACTGAACTTGAATTTGAACTTGGGTCTTCCTGATCCCAGGCCCAGTGCTCTGTTTACTACTCTACTCTCTTTTTATTAGAGAAAGTTAACAAATGACACAATAAGTATATTAAAAGTTATGCATAAGAGGCAACTTGCAGAGTGCAGAACTCTGTTAGGAAAAGCTCTAGGTAACCTGAACTTCAATTTCCTCATTTATAAAATGGGCATGAACACACAGAGACAGAATAGTCAGTGCTACTGCAGATCAAATGGGATGATGAACAAGAAGTGTTCTGCTGTTCAAAGGTAAGTATTATTATTATTATTATTGTTAGAAGATGGTGACAGTCTCTTTTGGCTATCTATCATGGGCTAAACATGAAGGATAAAACAGGCTAAAACTTGAAGTATAAGAAATCTTGATATTGTGACAGCAAAACTTTGTTAAAACAACAGTTTACTAAAATAAATTTATTTATTTTAAAGATCTATTTTGTGCACAATATTTTTACTGGGGTAGATAAAGAAATTAACAGGGTTTATACCTAGCCAGAACAATTTCTTTGCAAAAATCTTTTTAAAAAATTACAATAAAAAAAAATAATTTCCTCAGCTAACCAACAAAAAGAACGATAAAAATGGCAAAGAATAATGAATTCATTTATATATTCTTAAAACTTTTCTGAGTCTTTCACCAGTTTATTCTGAGGCTGGTGAGAAGAAGAAAAAAAGCTTCTGAAATGCTATTTGAGCATATTATTTACAAAGCTGGGCTAATTATCAGTTTGGGAACACAAGGTGAAGTCAAGAAACTCAAGTGAAATCTTACCTTCTCGAAAGACTGAAGATGACAAATGATAGGGTTTAGCTCGTTCCATGGCTAACTTTCTCTGTACTCTAGGAAGTATCTTCCCATACTGATCTAGTATGGAATTTCTAGCAACTGACCTCTCCCTCAAACGAGGATCACGGTCATTCTATTAAAGACACAAAAACCACATATACACACACATGCAAAAAATCAATCCTGAAAAATTTACACACCTTACTATAATATATACAGGAATTTAAGGTCTTATGAAATGAACTGTAAATATTTATATCAATTTTCCTTATATACCTTTCCTCTAGCCAAAATATCCCCCATACCTGGAAAACATCACACAATTCCTACCTAATCTTCAGTTCCTTTTTTTTTTTTTTTGGTGAGGAAATCGGGGTTAAGTGACTTGCCCAGGGTCACACAGCTAGTAAGTGTCAAGTGTCTGAGGCCACATTTCAACTCAGGTCCTCCTGACTCTAAGGCTGGGCTCTATTCACTGCACCACTTAGCTGCCCCTTCAGTTCCTTTCTTAATAAATCTTTTAACTGCCAGTTCCCTTTCATTTTTTCTATAATGAAGTAAAAGAAAAGAAGATAAAATTTGCCCAGTTATCTCAGAACAATTAAAATATGTAAGAAGGATAGATTAAGTCTTTTCAAGTTTAAATGGGGTTTCTTCTATTTAAAACATTAACAAGCACAATGATTTATATTTCTTGCATGAATTTAAAACTGAGAAAACTTTCGAAAAATGTTTTCATTATCTTGCTTTGTGTAATAGAAAATTAAATCTTACCATGAGATTAACCTTCAGAGACTGATTCAGCTGCAACGCAGGTATATAATTGGCACGCTGTAAATGGTGAACTAAAAGTATTCATGATTCTGAACACCAGCACTGGACTGCAAAAATTTCACTAAACACTCCTAAGAGAAATAAAATGGATTAGTCACCCATCAAACTAACTTCAAATTTTGAAAACTTTATTCTTATGAGAACCTACTTGTTCAGTGTCTGTGAAGGGCAATTTCAGCAAATCTTCCATTAAGCCCATTTCCTGGCAGGCTTCATACATGTGTTTAAGTAATTCCTCTACATTTAACCTGTTTGAATGTTGCCGCAAGAGACTCCAAGCCTCAACCATACACCTGCAATTAGTATTTGACAGTTTCATTATTCTGTAGCAAAATTCCCAGTCCTTTGAGGAGCACATGAGTATTTTCACATAATAGCTCACAAAATCTTTTCATTTACCACCTTAAAGTCTACAAAGTCCTTTCCTCACAACAGCCCTATGAGGTAGTACAACTGCCATGTATATAGCAAATACAAAGCTAGTTTAAAAAAAAATCTATCACATTCTTTGTGAACAGAGACTACTTTTCCCCCCTATTAACATCTCTCATACCTTTCATCCTCTTTCTATGTGTGGTCTTCTACAGAACATAAGGTCCTTCAGGATAGAGACTCTTTTTTTTGCCTGCATTTTTATAACCCATGTGTGTTAGTTAGCACAGAAATTGGCACAAAGTAATAAGTGCTTGGTCAATTAATGTGTCTTGGAATTTAAAAAAAATCATTTCAACAGGTATTGAAATGAGCTGAAACTGACTAAGCCATGTGTTGGGAATCACGTAGTGACAGAAAAATTAAAAGCAAAGGACAAGTTTCTTCCCTAAAGGAACTGATAAGTATAGCTAGAAAAACAAGACATAAAAAAGAATCAACTGGTCACAGCACGGTATAATGAAAAGATCAATGAACTAGGAGTCCCTAGCCCACTCTTGAGCCTCAGGTTAACACAGCTACAAAAAGAGAATGGGGTAATAACCCTTAGCTATTTCATAGTGTTGTGATGATTAATGATACACAAATAACTTTACTATAATACTGTCACATAACAGTGTGTTAAAGTGTGAAAACAGGCAATGCAGATCAAAAGCCCTGAGTTCAAAAAAGGAGTTCAACATGTTTAAAATATATCTTTCTCTCAAAATCTCCCTTTTACCAAGCTTCCTTATTTCTATTAAAGGCACCAAAATTATTTTAGCCCTCCAGATACGTAACCTTGGCATTATCTTCAACTCTTCAGTTTCATTCACTGCATGTAGTAAATCAATTGCCAAATTTGATCATTTCTACCTCCACAACAATTCTTGCAGTTGATCCTTTTCCCCCACAGACAACTTAACATCATGCATTTTGCCTGGACTACTGAAATAGCCTCTATGCCATGTCTCCTTGCCTCAGGTCTCTCCTGCTGCAATCTATTCTCTAGACAGTTGTCTATGAAGTTTACTAAGTTTAAATATAGGTCTGACTACTTCATTCTCTTCCTCAATAAATTTCAATGACTTTCTATTGCCTCTAGGAAAAAAATCAAACTCCCTTGGCTTTTAAAGGTGGTCATAACCTAGCCCTAACCTAACAGGCTCATTATATGTTACTCCTTCTCTTGCACACTAGGGTCTATCAAAATTCTTATGTGAAACTCTTTAGTTTATGTGTTATTCCACTGACTCTCCACTATGCATGAAATTCACTCCTTTCTCACTTTCGCCACAAAGACTGCTCACATTCAAGACATAATTTAAGCACTTTCTGTGTGATCCTCCCAAATGCCAGCAATCTTTCCCTTACATAGATAGAATGATAGAATGTAAGCTCCCTGAGAAAAGGGACTGTTTCAGTTTTTTTGTCCACGTATACTCACCTAGCATGTAGTGTTGTTTAAATATTTATAGCACATAAATGTTTGTTGATTGGTTGAAAGAAGAACTCAATGTGAGTTATATCAGCTGAGAATTTGCTGAAGGAGAAATAAGACTTGGCTACTGATGGATAAACAGGATTTTGGTAATAAGAGAAGAGGCAGTAAAAAGAACAGAACATTTGGAGTCAGAAGAACTGGAATCCTTGCTCTGCCATTTACCAATATGACACTGAGAGTGTATTAATCTCTGAAGTGATCGCTTGAAGGATCTCCATCTCTAGAGATTTCTATCTAGAGATCTCTCTAGGCTATAAACCCATGGATAGCACAATCAAGATAGCTAAGAACCAGAAACTCAGAAATTGTCAGAATAATTACAGTCAAAAGAATGAATCAATATTCTAAGAAAATGTGTACAGAGAGAAATAAAGAACAGAATTCTGAGGCAGGCAAAACGATAAAGAGGCAGTGAAGGCAATAGAGTAAAAAGCATGGACAAGGTAGGAGAAGCAGGCACTGACTTTTGAAAAACAATTACTTTTTCCAGGAACAGGAATGATGTTTCACACCACTTTTAGAAAATGCAGAGAGATTACACCTAAATACTGGGAGGCCAGCACCGTTTTACCTTTGTTAAACTAGATTAATATGATAAAAAAAATCAATCTTGCTCATTTCTGAAATTCTAACATAGTTACTTATATAAATGCTATTATTGTTTATACAACAATAACTAACAACTAGAAATACTAAGCAACTAATACTACAGTGAATCCAGCTATACACATGCAGGCCAGAGACAATCAAAAGATTCCTACCTGAACCCTTCTGACAACCAGACAAGACTGATAGCAATAAGAATCAAAATTATAAAATAGGCATGAAGAATCTAGGTGCTGTAATATCTTCATTATCTGATTATGTAAATATAAAAACATGCCACAGGGCAATCACGAAACAACATTTCAGCTATATAGCATAGTGGCGATAGTGGTGAAGAGGATGTAATGGGAATACTATTGTACTATTAGAAATGATGAGCAGGCAGACTTCAGAAAAACCTGGAAAGACTTGCATGGACTGATACTGAGTGAAGCGAGCAGAACCAGGAGAACATTGCACACAGTAACAGCAGTGTTGTGCAATGACTAACTTTGATAGACTTAGCTCATCTCAGCAATGCAAGGATCCAAGACAACTCCAAAGAAATTAATGATGGAAAATGCTGTCCACATCCAGAAAAAGAACTATGGAATCTGAATGCAGATCGAAGCAAATTATTTGATCTTTTTTCCCTTTTTTTGGGTTTGTTTCTTCTTTCTCATGGTTTCTCCCATTGGTTCTAATTCTTCTTTACAACATGACTAATGTGAAAATAGGTTCAATATTACTGTATATGTAGAGCCTATATCAGATTGCACGCTGTCTTGGGTGGGGGGGAGGGGAGAGATGGAGAGAAAATCTGGGACTCAAAATATGATTGAAGTGAATGTTGAAAGCTAAAAATAAATGAATGAATGAATGAATGAATGAATGAATTTTAAAGGGGGGGATGAAAAGGATCTTAGAAAGGCCACCATTCAGTCATTTCAGTAGTGTCTGACTCTTAGTGATGCCTTTGGGGTTTTTCTGGCAAAGATACTGGAGTGGTTTCCTTCTCCAGCTCATTTTACAGACAAGGAACTAAGGAAAGGAGGGTTAAGTGACTTGCCTAGGGTCACACAGCTAGTGTCTAAGGCCAGTTTTGAACTCAGGTGCTCCTGACTCCAGGCCTGGCACCCATTTATACTGTCCACCTCACCTCCTTGCTTCAGTAAACACATAGTGAACAAAAAGGCAACCTTTGTTGATGACTGCCTGGCATGACCATGATCAAAGACTGTCCTATACTATAAATGTAGATGGTTTCTAGCACAGGATGAATCTGTATTGCCCAAAACATACCCTGGAATTTGTTTCCTTGTACAAATCCCTCATATCTTGTTTTCTTGTCATATACCTCTTTTTTTTTTCCCAGAGGTAACCATTTATCTAACAATTAGGCCAAAGAAATTCCATAGATATTAATGTTAAAGCAAAAGGCATAATCACAATACACGTCACCCTCTCTTAATACACACCATAACCTCTTATTAAATGTGCACGAAGAAGCAATTTTCAAATGTCCACATTCAGATGGATAGTTCTGAGACTGAAAATGACCTGTACATAATTTTTGAATGCTACAGCACCTCACCTGAGAGGTGGTGAAAACTAGATACACATTAGAGGAATTTCAGAGCAGACAGACATGGGAGTCAAACACATGGGCTTAGAGTAAAGCACAACTTCGGATTGCAGTTCACCCTCATCACTCATATTCTCCATATGAACGTAGCATTTTTATAAGCCCTTTCAATTAACCCTCATCCTTTAAAGGGAGTTTAGAAAACCTCAGGTTTTAATGGTCTTATCCTTCTGTTTACACCAGGAGGACTGCAAAATTTAATCAAACTATCTCCAGCCTATTATTCACTCAAAAGGTTGCTGCCTCATCCAGTCAGAACAGGCCTCCCAGCCACCAAGCTGACGTTGACTCCATATGCCTCTTTTTCATAGAAGTGGAGTGCAGAAAATACAGCTGCATGATCTCTTGTGCAATGTAACATGCCTATCTTTCCGCAAAATTAATTATTAAATCAAAGGCTAATAAAGCAGCTTTTTTCTAAGTTGATTTTTTGCCTTCGATAAAAATCTTCACTTTTTTTTAGTGTCCTTTGATATTTCAGTAGCATTCAAAACATTCTCTTAAGAATCAATAATCACATTAACTCTCTGGTCACTGTAAACCAATTTTCTCTCACTTCTCTTCTGTTTTTTTTTGTTTTGTTTATTTGTTTGTTTTTTTTAAATAGAGGCAACTGGGGTTAAGTGACTTGCCCAGAGTCACACAGCTAATAAGTGTTATGTACCTGAGGCTGGTTTTGAACTCAGGTCCATCTGACTCCAGTGCCGGCGCTCTATCCACATCTCACTTCTCTTCTAAGTAAAAGCAGAACAACCTAGTCCATGAAGTTTTCCATGTTAATCCCAGAGCTTTAAATAATTTTTTCCTCTAACTTGATCTTAAAGCACTTTGTACTTTGATGTAATTTAACATGTCTTAACCTCGCCTATAAAACTGTTAACTATCCTAGAAGAAAAAAAAAGTATCTTATTTAACTCTGTGGCCCTACCAATAGAATAGCGTGCTCATTTATTCGCTGAATTAACAAGTGCCATCTTGGGGGCTTTAGGATATTGCCTTTAAACACCACTTTGTAACAACAGGAAGACTAGCCATTTTAAGTGTTTAGCTTTTTTGTTACTGTGCTGGTTAAGGGTACCAAATAATTGAGGAATTTTTAGACGCCATCAAAGTAAGCAGGTTTACATATTGGAAATCTGTAGTTTTTCTGTATAGTATCTTGGAAAAAAGACAACAGAGTCTATCTAGGACACAGGCATAGTGTGAGGCAACTAAAAATAAATAATGTAAAGTAGGGGTTAGGTCAGCAATTTTTCAGAAATGGTTTGCCAGTTACAACGAAATGACAGTGAGTGAGTTCTGACCCTAGAAAATAAAAACAGGATGGAACAGAAGCACTTCAGTAATCTCTTATAAAGGAGAAAGGCAGCAACAATGATACCTAGCTACCAAAAATCAGGCCAGATTGCTATTGTCTAAATAAAATTTTTTTAATACAGGCTATCTCTAGATTCTTATTTCTATTTCAATTATTTTTCCAATACCTGTCATTTCTCATGCAATTCTGAAAATATCGTACCAGGATCAAATTTTGGCAAAAGCTTTAGGGCAACTCTCCAGATTATTCTGATTTAGTAATCAAAGATAATTTCACATCTTTGTATTTTTTATGAGACCTCTTTTCAGTGGCACTGGCAATGTGATTAATAATCTAGTCATTTGATCAGTGATGAGTAAAGGAAATACTCTTTTTAAAAAAAAATTCATAATTAAGCAACAAATACAAACATGCACAATTAAAAGGTCCAAAGACAAGACATACACAGCTGCATTGTGATTTTGTCCCATTAGTTTTATTACACAAATTAGTAAAAACTCATATAATCAGAAAATTTCAACCTTTCCACCAAAGCTCCCACCCAGAGCAATCATTTTCAGTGTTACTATATACACATTCACAAAAACTGTGAATGAATTATGGTCAATGGAAGAAAGGAATACTGCCGAGAAATGAAGAAATGTTCAAGAGCTCTCCATATCTAAACTTGATATAATAAACCAATTAAGATCTGGCATTGCTCCTTAAGCTAAGTTTAAATGACAATAAAATGAAAATCCATAAAAACAGAAAAATGCCATGATTAAATAACTAATACTAGTAAGAGAAAAGGTAAGATATGATCAATTCACAACCAAGATGAAATGTAAAGGGTTTCATTCCTTCAAGACACCTAACCATAATTAAAACAGTCAACTCTTGATTATCCATACTATGGATTATTCCAAGATAGTTTTCCCTGGCATCAATAATGCTCCTGGTACCTATTTCACCAATTAGTGAGCATTCGTGAAATACGAACTAATTTTACCATCAGATTAAGCAAAATATAAAGCTTTAAATTTCACAACAGGATCATCTAATGCAGGCCAAACAACACAGAAATGATTTTTCAATTATACACTTCACTGTTTCCTCTAACTCTACCTCTAAATGAAAAATACTTTTGCTACTTACCTATTAAAAAGCAAAACAGTGAGATGAAGCATAACCTCATTGCTGTTTGACACAGATGGTTTCATTGTTTGAATGTATCTAAGGGCTAGTCTATGTTCACCTTGGCACATGAAGGCCTGAATAATCTTCGTATGTTGCCATGTCATAGACTTTAGTGTAGCTGGATGAAATAAGAGATCCAAAGCACTCTGTAAAAAGGAAACGGAAAAGTTCTTATTAATTTAAAATATTCAAGATTATCAAGGGAAGGTATCTCAAAACAAACACTATGGCAATATTAAAAGTAATGCAAGTAGTTAATCTTAAATCTTCTAAGAAAAAAGGGCTACTAAATCACAATGGGAAATATAAATTGTTTGCATTCCCCTCCCAAATTAGCTTACTGTCCATATTAGCTCAGTTGTGATAATTTCAGCTTAAATAAGTCTTTAACATTTGTTAAATACACGGTTCGAAGAATCCATCCTGTCCTTTATCGAGAAAGTTAACAATTCCACTCTCACATGCTAAATAAGCACTACAATTTTTAAATTCTTATTTTATCTAATTCTTAGTCAAATGACAACTGGGGGAGGAGGCGGGGCAGGAGTACCTTCTAAAAGGTATTTTAAAAATCTAAATAAAGCAATAAACCTGTAGTCATTTATGTGTGCATGCACGTGCTTGAGGGACTGGTTTTCTGAGCCACAGCCTCAAGACAAAAGTCTAAACTCAACAAAAAGCTACAGGAGAATGTTACATTAATTTTTTATTATGCTGAATATGACATTTTCACGATTTAAATACATTGAAAACCTAGTGAATTTCCACCTATCCCTACATCAGTGATTATCAAGCAATAAAAGCAGTTTATCTCATTGTAATCTGTTTAGTGATTTATCTAATTTTCCAGAAATTTAATTTCAGGTAACCTAAATGAAAATGATATACCTACCTCATAGTCATTATGATCTATAAGCCAAAAACCTTGAATAAGTTTAACCAGACCCCAAGGGACTGCAAAGGCAGTTGGAAAAGATTCAATTGTAGCATCTGTTTTATTTGGAACAGAATATATGATATCAAGCAGCAAATAAATGGTCTTGAAATCCTGATTAAGGCTGAAAACATAAAAATAGAAATTTCCTACATGTTCTTAGTGTAGCTATTAGCACAAAGCAGTACCACATAGGCTTGGAAAGGTACTACTTTTTAAGGAAGTATTTTTATTGTTTCAGAAACCCATCATAGATGGATCTAAAGTTAATTACTGATCTTCTTTATAGCAGGAGTATGTACGAGTATTAATGCTTTAATGTCTTGTCTCTACTCTTTCCCAGATGTATGGAGTAGTAAAATAGAGGAGCTAAAGTAAAGCATAATTTAGAGTCTTCCTGATGTTAACTGGCCTAAAATGTAACAGAGAAATACGTATATATCAAATTCTGTTTGTCTAGTCAGGCAATGCTAACTAAATCTGAAGACTTTCCTTTCTAGGAAAAGTACCTTTCTTACCAGTACACAAATAAGTTCTTGAAGTCACTGTGTAAGCTTACAATTTCCTGTTCAAAAATGTGTTACTTCATGTTGGTGATCTATAATATTAAATAACTTTTAAAAGGATACAATAGCATGTTTATTTGCTTCATCAACATTTTCCAGTAGGTATACATCAAGAAGTGCCTATAAAATAAAGGGGAAAAAAGTTTTAGTGTTATCTCTCCCAACCACAAATGCTTTCTCTTTTTTGTCCCAGTCCAATGTCTAGGCACAGGAAATTTATTCCTGTATCACAGGCACTGTTCTGTTAAGCACTAAAAAAATACTGCAAAACCTACATGTAGGCTAGCAGGAGGATATTTTCCAGTGCCTCCTTCATCTCGTTGCCACAACTTCTCAATTCGATCCCCTAACTGGGAAAGCATTCCATCAATCATCAAACAGTCAGAATTCCACTTCCCTCTGAAACGAGGACAACATAAAAAGACTGTTAGTTATCATAGTCTTCAATCAAATTATTAACACTCAGATACACAGTTATTAACTATACTGAAACCTGTCAAAATGTTTCAGGGACACATATTCTAGATATAGGCTCCAGAACTTCTCCAGCTCTGTAAACAGCAATTAAAGGTGTAGGGGCCTTATGGTGAATACGGTCATGTCAAGTAATGCCTAAAGCCAGGTGTCCTTATTCTTATAAATTTGAATCAGTTCCCTATATATCACAGAATTAAGACTTTATTAGAGAAATCTGCTGCAAAGTTTTTCTGCCCATTTGCCTGCTTCTGTAGTACCATTAATTTTATGTAATCAAACTACCTAATGTATCTTCTGAGATCTTCCCTATACCTTTTTTGGTCAGGAATTCTTCTATCCATATATGTGAATTTATTTTATATATACATACACACACATATATGTATGTATGTATGTATATAAAAAATGTAATTTATTCCTAGCTCGCTCCTCTAACTTATCAAGTTACTCTTTGTAAGTCATATATCCATTTGGAGCTTTTGCTGATAAACAAGAGATGTTGGTCAATATCTAGTTTCTGCCAAACTGCTTTTTAATTTTCCTAGGAATTTTTGTTGAATACTGAGTCTTCCCCCAGCAACTGTGGTTTTTGAGTTTACCTAAAGTTTATTGAACAATATGCAAGTGAGTTCATTTGCTTCTGTATATTGTGCACCTAATCTATTCCACTAATTTACCTCTTTATTTCTTAACTAACAACAAATTATTTTGATGATTACCACTTTGTAGTACAGTTTTGAGATTTGACATTGGTGCCCCTTCCTACTTGAAAATTTTTCTTCAGATTTAATCCATGAAATGTTTCCCAGGCCCTGTGCTAAGTGCCGGGGACACAAAAAGAGGCAAAAGACAGTCCTTGCCGTTATGGAGCTTATAATCTAATGATAGAGTCAGATGAATTTCATTATTATTTGTTCTAGCTCTCTAAAATAATCACTCAGTAGTCTGATTACGAGGGCACTGAACAAGTAAATTAAAATTTTGTAGTTGTAATTCATATTGTTCCTATATGTCTTCACAGGTAAACTCTCAAGTATCTTACACATTCTAAAGTTTTTCTAAATCTCTTCCTGCTGGGTTTTATTGCTAATATAGAGAAATGCTCATGATTTATTTGGGTCTATCTTCTATCCTATAATTTTGCTGAAGTTATTGTTTTAACCACTTTTTAAACTGACTCCAGTATTCTTTAAGCAAACTATCATATCATCTACAAAAAGATAATTTTGTCTTCTTTTGGCCTACTATTATTTCCTCAATTTCTTTTTCTTGGCTTATCTCTGTAGCTATCAAACAATAATGATGATAACTGTGTTTCATCCAATTTCATCAGAAATTCCCCATACAGGTAATGATAACTCTTAGTTTTAGAAAGATTCACTTATCATGTTAAGAAAAAATCCATCTATTCCCATGCTTTCTGGTTGTCTTTTTTAAAAAAAAATATGAATGCATGTTATTTTCTCAAAAGACTCTGCTACATCTACTGGTAAAAATCACATGATTTTTTTTTTTGTTATTTATGTGCTCTTATTATGTTGACAGTTTTCCTATTATTGAAGCAAACCTGCATTCCTGGTGTAAACTGAAGATAAACATGGTCAACTTTGCTAATATTTTATTTAAAATTTTGGCATGGATATTAATTAGAGATATTGGTCTATAGTTGTTTTTTTTTCTGTATTTAATTCTAGGCATCAAGACCATGATTGTATCACAGAAAGAATGCGGTAGGACCTCTTCTATTTTTTTCAATTTATCTACTATTGGAATTAACTTTCTTTTATGGTTTGACATATAAAATGTTTGCAAATCCATTTGGTCTTTTTTTGTTTGTTTGTTTGGGAGCTCATTTGTGGCAGAAGGAAACACTGGGTAAAATTCCATTACTACCTTTTTAAGTTTAATAGATGATCTTGTTAATCTTAAAAGAAGTGGTTCTAAAAGGTACTTCATTTTTAAGTACTAGTAGTTAAAATCTTCTGTAGATGTTTCTATCCTTTATTTCCATCTTTTTTGACATGGTAGCTACTGAAATATGCTAAAAAAGACTTCCATTTAAAATTATGCCTCTCATAAACAACCACCAGAAATCACCCATCACAGTAATTGAAAAATTCCTCTGGTCTTTATGGAATGAAGTGTTAGATATAGTCTCATTACAAAAAAGGAAATTTAGTCATATGATAGGACATTAAAAACATATCTGTATAGTGGAGAGAGGATTGGGCTATGATTCAGAAGGCCTGAATCTTCCACTCTTGGTCATTATCAATCAACAAGTATATGTTCAGCAAATACTACAGGCCAGGTACAAGGGAGATACAAGTACAATAAATAAAATAATCCCTACTCAAAATGAGCTTACATTATAATGAGGTAAATAAGAAATACTTAACAGGGACACATACCCACACCCACCCACCTCCCCATCCTGCCACAAATACAAGAAGTTTGGTAGGGAAAGGACTGGAGATTGAAAAGATGGGACAGCAGGAACTACCATTGGGGAGGATTAGGAAAGGCTGAACACTAGTTAGATGTGTAACCCTGAGCAAATTGTTTACCATCTGTCTCAATTTTCTCACATGCAAAATGAAAAAGGGGTAGGATAAAATAATTTAATATCTCTTCTAACTCTATAACCTATTAACATTGGTGACAAAATTAAAATCCTTTCCCAGAAACAAGCTTTAATATTTAATAACATATTGAATCATTATATGAGCTATCAGTGGTGATTGAATTTTAGCAATAATTTTTGAAAAATTTTCCTGAATGAAACGTACCTTGCCAGACGCTGAAGCTTCTGTCGACGACTTGTGTAGTAGCTCTGAATTTCAGGGTAGTTGTACCATAATCTTGACAACTGCATAGGATCATCTAGATTTTTTTTTAAAAGTAATTTTTTAAAAAGGTAGTATTTCTACAAAATCCAAACTATAGGTATTCTACTTAAGAACAATAGTCAACATATATAGCAATAGAAGCACTTAGCAATGTAACTGCAATTTAACAAGCCTTTCAAATAGGGAGTGAGAGTGGGAGGATTAGTCAGTACAAATGGAAAACTTGTCAATGGTACTTGGAAAACCTGTTAAGAAAATGTTATCTTTACACTAGTGCATGTCCAGAAGAGAGTATTTTTGTTTTACATTCAGTATAAAATTCAACTACTCTGATTCATAAACCATAAAAGCATTCAATCCCACATATACAGATTTCATCACCTAATGCAACCCCTCATTTCTGTAGATTAAAAAACTGAGTTGAAGGAAGGTTCACCCAATATCACCCAGCTAGTATGTGACAGAAAGAGAATTTACATACTTGCCAATACTAATGATCCCACACAGGAACTCTTAATGCAGAGATATAAAGACTAAAAAATCATTTAAAAAGGCCTATATTATTTTCTATGACTTGTCATAATAATGATAATGACAATCCACACCAGGCTTGTGAGGTAGGCAGTGCATTTTTTTTTATCATCTAACAAATAAAGAAACAGACTCAAATAAGTTAAGTGACTTGTCTAGACTCACACACCAAGTAATTATCGAAGCCAAGATCAGAACCCAAAACTGAACTTCATTCCAAGGTTCTTTTCATTACCCTGTATTAATGCTAAAAGATAGTTCACTTGGTATCAATTTTCAAATCCACTTTCTCTCTGTAAGAGCATATTATTTAAATAAATAGTTTTAAGTTAACATATTATATGTTGAATTATCTTAAGTGTACATAAGCTTATTAACATAATAATTACTGAATAACTGTATAAAAAAAATCTTACCTAAACCCTCTGGTAAAAGACCAGAACGTGAAAACCAGAGAACCACTTGTGCATACTGAGAGATAAGATTACTAACCATCTGCTTATTGGTTAAATCCACCAGACCTGTAAAGACAGGGTCATCAAAAAATACTTATTTAGTGGTTAATGTGGCTGATCATACTAAAATTCTCAAACACTCAACCTAAATGATTATATGCTTTTGAAAACAACAACAACAAAACAAGGTATTTCGGCATGCGTTTTACCTAACATGTGATGAGGATAAACTATGTTGAAAATATCCTAGATGAGTGCAGCCAGTCATGGACAAAAACTTTAATAAATCTAGGATATGGAATACTGCTTAAATCCCACAGAATGAAACTCTTCTAAACAGATGATAGTGCTAGGAGAAAGGATGAATATGATGCATACAGAGAAGTATAGAAAGACACGACCAGATGAGAAGTGAGTAAGCAGAGTCAAGGGTCAAACAACATACCCAAAAACTACAACAATGAAAACGGAAAAATGACCATCTCAAAAAAATCAAAAGCTAATGTTGTAGAAACACAAGAAATAAGAATAGCTCTAAAGAAGAGATGAGAAGAACCCTCCTCCCACTAATTTTGCAGAGAGACAATTTTACATGGGTGGAACATTATATATATTCTCAGACTTCTTTCAATGAGTTGTTCATTTTGCTGAACTTCTCTTCCTGTTTTTCTTAAAATGTATTTGCTTTCATTCTGGAGAGTAATTTGAAACTATGCCCATAAGGCTTATAAAACTAATCAAGCAACACCACTGCTAGGTCTCTATCCCAAAGAGATTTTTTAAAAACTAGAGGGGGAAAGGGACAGCTAGGTGGCGCAGTGGATACAGCACGGCCCTGAAGTCAGGAGGACCTGAGTTCAAATCCAGCCTCAGAACAAACACTTGACACTTACTAGCTGTGTGACCCTGGGTACTTAACCCCAATTGCCTAAAAAAACAAAAGTGGGGAGGACCTATTTGCCCAAGGGTAATTACAGTGGCTCTTTCTGTGGTAGCTAAGAATTTGAAATTGAGGGGATGCCCATCAATTGATAAATGGCTGAACAAGTTGTGGTATATGGTAATAATGGAATACTATTGTGCTATAAGAAATGATGAGCAGAATGATTTCAGAAAAACCTGGATTTATGTGAACTGATGCAGAGTGAAGTGAACTGAAGAATACTGTATGATAAAGAAATGTGAACGACTTAGCTATTCTCAGCAATAAATGATTCAAGACAATCCCAAAGGACTCAATGAAAAATGTTATCCACTTCCAGAGAAAGAACTGCTGGAGTCTGAATACAGACTGAAGCATACTATTTTTTTCTCTCTCTTTTTTTGCTTAGTTTTCTTTCCCAAAATGACTAATATGGAAATATGTCTTACATGATGGCACAGGTATAACCCATATCAGGTTGATAACCATTTCAGAGAAGGGGAAAGGAAGGGAAGGATAGAATTTGGAACTCAAAATTAAAAAAACAAAACAAAACATTCTTATACATGTAATTGGGGGAAAAAAGAAATTATTTTTGAAAATGTATTTGTTGTTAGGAAGAATGACTATGGGAGGAGAGTAGAGGAATACTGGGATAATAAAGGATACTAATAAAAATGTATTGAAAATAGCCAGGGTGAGGAGGCTGGAGTGGGAGGTTTGAAGCACAAGTAGACATTTAGGACAGGTGGGAATTCAATTTCCTTCACTACCTTCTTAGAAGATGCAACCCATCCTAGAAAACGGTTTTGTTAAAAAAAAATGTCTGTTTGTAGCCTTCTGCTATTTGAAATTATTCCCCTCCCCACCTCTGCCCCCAGTATATATTAGAAACAAAGATAACAGCTTGAGACTATGCCCACACATTCATAAAATGAAAGAGGCCTTAAGGATATACAAGCTTCTGTCATATTCTACAAAACTTATCAAGTCAGGAGTTTTCTGATGTCACTTTCCCCTTGAAAAATTCCATCATAATACTCCAACAGAAATCAATATAATAAAACTCTTATAGGTTGCCTTCAACTGAGGCTATCTAAAGTCACCAATCTTTTTATCTTCATTTAAACCATTGGTTATCCAAGATATGCTTGCAATCAAATGTATATGGAGAGTCAATTAACCTATAACATGCTGATTCCCCATAACCAAGAATAATATGATCTTTTCCAAGGATCACGATTTTGCAGTCAAAAAACTTTCCAGAAGAAAAAAAATAACGAACAAACCTCTCTCAGTGAGTTCTTGAGCCTCTGATAAAAAGCAGTTTAAGACTGTGCTAAGGTTGCTAAGAAGCAACTGACACTGCTGAAGAGACTGGATAATTTGTGGATCAATGAAATGACAAGAACCATCAAATAATGAAGCACCTGTTGAGGGTAATATAATACAATTGGCTTAAACACAATAAATTAGTAGAGTTAGCAAATTTAAGTATCACAAAGTCAATGACATCAATTTTGATGAATGAAAAAAAAAATCACAGTTGTAAAATATATGACCAAGATCTTATATCCAGGGCTATTATAGGATCATAGATGAAAAGCTGGATGAGATCTCTGAGGTCATTTGGTTCACCTCTTCATTTTACAGATGAAGAAACCCAGGCCAAGAGGAGTTTAGGTGATTTGTCCAGGCTCATACAGCTAGGGAGCACCTGAAACATAGGTCTTCCTGGCTACAGGTCAGGCAATCCAGGTCCACCACTCTGCTGCTATAAAATAGCTATCTCTTTTTGATGACATCACTATTTTAATTCCTTTCTCTGAAGCCATCAATATTTCTGTAACAGGACAGTGTTCTCAAAGTATTATGGCCAAATCTGCTTTACATAGGGATGGAAAAGAACAGAATGGGTAGCTTAAAATTTACAAATTAGCTTAGAATTCACAAACTGATTCTACATCCAGGTGATAACCTATTTTTCTAGGCACCTAGCTCTTTCCTGACCTCATCTGAAGGAACCGAGGCATTACCCTGGCTGTACCCATAAATGGTTGCAATGAATTAGATTCTATTTAGGGCATACTGAGTCCTTGGTCATGTGAGTCTGTCAGAGAGAAGGAAGACCAGTGCAGAGAGCTCTTTTCCTAGAGAAGTTCATCAAGTTTGGGAATTCAAATCAGTGTGTAAGAATCTAAAACTAAAGGTCATTCTAAGAAATGGTGTTTTTGTTGTAACAAATATAGATGCTTCTCAATTTATCAAATTTTATTATCATCATAAAATAACCTAGTTTTACTTATTAGTATCTACTCAATACCATTCTAAGTCATAGATTAATTAAACAATTTTCCAAAAACATGGAACATTCACTTAACGGTTAATGTACAACAGGCGTTAGATAATTTTAAAAAGTTACTACTCAGTATAGCACTTTTATTTTACAAGCTGCATTCCTCATCAAAACAAAAAGAAACACCCAATAAAGTGTGAAGGGGATAACTGAATATTGTCTTCATTTTCAAACTGAGAAATCTGTGGAAAAAATATGTACTAAGTGACTTGCCCAAAGTTACAGAGCCAGTAAATATCAGTACCCAGATTCTAACGGAGGTGTTTGCAATTCAAGTCCCGTTCACTACACTGTTGTATCATACTGCTGTTAAGTTACAGAGACAGAGTAACAGGAACACAGCTTCTGTATAAAGAATGCCAATTACTTCTGTGGCAATATAATTTAAATAGTTTCAATATAAGTCATGGTTTCTAAAATGTATCTTGGTGACTATATTTTCAGTAACTATAGAGAACAGAATTCATTTAACTAAGTTTTAACTTTAACTATTTACCCTATTTTTATAGATAAAAGGTGATCTTTGATATCCAGCTTTTAGAGAGAACATAGAAGAGGCAATCCCACTTCAGATTGCTGAAGGAAATGCCTTTGGGAAGACATGAGTGGTGCTGGCAGTCTCCATCATGTCCCTGTTCCGTATTCTAGAGATTATAGGCAGTTTCCCCTCAGGAGAGATCAAGGGCATTGGTTGAGCCAAGTTATCTTGCTCCCAATTGGAGAGACCCATCGTGCTATATTATCTGGTACATATTCTCGTGTGTGTGTGTGTGTGTGTGTGTGTGTGTGTGTGTGTATGTGTATCCTCTCTGATCCCTGCTTTACAACAATTACTAAATGCATTTTCTTTGCTAAAAAAAAAAAAAAAGATAAAAGGTGATCAAAATAGCAGTTCGTAATTTAACATTTCCCATGGAGCATAATTAGATACCTCTTAGGTCCCTTTTAGTTATCAATCTATGATCCTCTATCTTTCTACCCTCTATTTAGGCATTTTTGAGAAATATAAACACAATGAGGTGGGTATATAATGGGGTGTCATATAATTTCTAAACACTTCAGACTCGATCCACTAACCTGAAAGAATATTTTAAAAGTTATCAGAAGCAAGCAAGAAAGAAGAATGTATTACGTATCTATTCTGCAATGGACTGTCTAGGCAACAGGATTATAAATAAAGACAACAAAAATAGTTCCTGTCCTCTCAAGGAGCTTAATTTTACTAGCAAAATAAAACTTGACTTTATTTTAAAAGGTAAATGTGACACAAAAGAACTTTTTTTCTCTGATAGTTTTTTTTTCCAAATTACAAGACATATCAGACTGTAGTGTAATGAATTCTTAGGACCTAGTATTTTCAAATCAGAATCTAAATTCTGCCCCAATTCCAGTCTAAGAATACTTAGAATACTTACATATTCGATCAAATTCTTCTTTTGTAAAAACTACTTTATTCCACGTCCATTCAAGAACAAAGCGCAAATTAGCAGCAGAACTTGGTTGTTCTTGTTAAAAAAAAAAAGGGGGGGCATGGGGGGAGGGAAAATGACACAACATTAATGTATTCCTTTTAAAATATAAAAAGAACATTAATTTCAAAAGTGAAAAGCTTTACCTTCTGTTGTCCATCTTTTGATGCATCCAGTTAGGAGTCCTAAGGAGCTGGTGTGAACAGCTGCTGACAATATAGCTTCTAACTGTTCTTCCTAAACAATGTTAAAAAACAAACAAAACAAACCAACCAAACAAACAAAAACTCAGGATGCTGAAATCATTGAGAAAGGTAAAAATGCATAGTTTGTAATACAACAATTTTGGGTAAGTTGTCTATCAATGTAAAAGTGCTTAAAACCTGAATGAAGTCAATCAAGAGTCTTTACTAAATAATGACAACGGATATCCTCAAAGGAAGGCCCAATTCCCAGCAGGATTTACAGATTTCTAGATTTCTTCCCACCTCAAACCACTTGTCCTTTAAAGTCCCAGAATAAATTAGTGAAGCAAGTTTGTTTTCTTTCAAGTCCTGTCCCTCGTACCTTTATAAAGTAAGTTGGAAGATCCAAAAAAGCCTTAGAAATTATCTTCTGTTCCTCCAGAACAGATCCAATGAACCCAAAGACAACTACTAGAATATTGAGTATTTAGGGTATTTATTAATCTATGACTAGAAGCAGCCAGAAGTTTCTTAAAAACAAAAGAAGGTACCATTTTATATCTGCCACAAATAAATCAAAGTAAAACAATACTCATTCATTAACCTTGCTTTTATTCAAAGCTACTCTCATCTCCTGAGATGTTTCCATCTTAATTCTTCAGCCACTATCTATCTCTCTTGCTATTATTGTTTTCCATGAAATGTCTTTTCTAAAAGGTCAACTGTAAGATGAACACAAACACGGTTGCAGAATTAACTAAACATTAGAATACCTTTTTTTTTGTTTTGTTTTTTTAGCGAGGCAACTGGGGTTTTACGTGACTTGCCCAGAGTCACACAGCTAGTGAGTGTTATGTGTCTGAGGCCAGATTTGAACTCAGGTCCTCCTGACTTCAGGGCTGGTGCTCTATTCACTGCCCCACCTAGCTGCCCCTAGAATACCTTTTAAATACCAATCCTTCTGTGGAGAATGAACTGAGCTAAAATGACTATAAAGACTATAATAGCAAGAAAGAACAAAGGGAGTCAACTAGGATAAAAGAATCTTCTGACTGGGGGAAAAAAAGCTTTTATCACATGCCTCTGATAAGGTACAAAAAAAAAAATCAGAGAATTCAATAGCCTTGAAGAAGGCTCTTCTCCAAAAAACCAAGCGGGCTACCTGATTCAGGAAGACAGGATGCCCAGATCACCAATATCTATTCCACCAAAATCTTAAAATTCATACCAGACAGAATAATCCATTAGGAAATCTAATTAAAAAAACAACAACAACACACTAAAAGACATCTTCCACACCAGAACTGTGCAGTAAGTCAGGCAGATATCCACTGGCAATACGAAAAGGGCCCCTCAACCAAAGCAAAGGTTTTGTATCCAGAGACAGCAGGAGCAGAGGGGCTCCTTCTGAGAAAGAAACAGGGTGGTTAGAAAGCCCCAGGCCATAGCAGCAGGCAGAGGAAAAACTGGAGGGCCAGTGAAACAGAAATGAAAAGAAAGAAAAGAGAAGGAATTTCAGATGTAAGCATGGACAAGCAGAATAGTTCTGATAACGTCAAAGCTAAGCATACCTTTTTTTTAAAGTAAGCAACATTCCTTGAGGACAGGAATTATTTCATTTTTGTCTTTATATGCCCAGTGCCTAACAAATTCCTGGCTTAAATGATTTTATATAACTGGGGGATGAAGGCAGGAAGGGAAATCTATGATATAATAAGGTATAGGAAGATGCCGGTGAAAAAACTCCCTCTACGAAATGCAAATCAAACAACTAAGGTACCACATCACATCTATCAAGATTAGCTAACATGACAAAACAGGAAAATGATAAATGCTGGGGAAGATGTAGGAAAACCGAAACAGCATTGCTGGTGGCGTTGTGAACTGATCTAACCATTCTAGAGAGCAATCTGGAACTATGCACAAAGGGCTATAAAATTGTACATACCCTTTGACTTAGCAATACCACTTCTAGGTCTGTATCCCAAGGAGATCATGAAAATAGAAAAAGGACCCACATGTACAAAAATATTCATAGCAGCTCTTTCTGTGGTGGCAAAGAATTGGAAATTGAGGGGTTGTCCATCAACCGGGGAATGGCTGAACAGGTTGTGGTATATGAATGTAATGGAATATTATTGTGCTATAAGATGATGAACAGGCAGTCTTCACTGATGCTGAGTGAAGTTGGCAGAAGCAAGAGAACATTGTACACAGTAACAGCAACACTGGGTGATGACTGACTTTGATAGACGTAGCTCTTCTCAGCAATGCAAGGATCTAATACAACTCCAAAAGACTCATGATGGAAAATCCTATCCACATCCAGAAAGAATGGAATCTGAATGCAGATGGAAGCATACCATTTGCTCTCCTTTTCTTTTATTGTTTTGTTTTTTCTTTCTCATGGTTCCTATTGGTTCTAATTCTTCTTTACATCATGACTAATGTGAAAATACACTTAATATGACTGTATACGTAGAGCCTATATCAAATTGCCTGCCAACGAAGTCGGGGAGGGAAGGGAGGAAGAAAAAAAACGAAAACTCAAGATCTTATAGAAGTGAATGCTGAAAACTAAAAATAAATAAACAAATGAATGAATGAATAAATAAGAGAGATAAGAAAAGAAACAAACAAACAAAACCAAAAGAAACAAACAAAAACCTTCCTCTACCAGTACAAGCTGGCAACTGTTTTGCAACTTTCAGCTGCCTGGGCCACTAAGTGTTTAAACAACCTGCCAGTCAGTATGGGTCAGAACTGGGACTTGAAACCAGTTCTTTCTGACTTAGAGGCAAGCTCTCTTTGCACTAAACTCCTGCCTCTCTCCTAGAACATTTTCCTACATTCTTCTGCTACTTATCACATTTGACTTCTCTATAAAAACTGTTATATTATCTGCAATAATAATGATTTATACTGAATTTGTAACATTTTTGTAACATTTTTATAGTTACCCTGTATTCTATCCACTAAGTCACAAATATATGGATAATTCAAACCAAAACGTACTTTTTCCAAGAATTATTTCAGAAATAGCAAGTCAGACCTTTTACAACATGCAAAGTAATCACTGTTAGAAGCAAAAAAGAAAAAGGAAAAAGACTAAATACAGACATTTTAATAGCCTCACCTGACTTAAGCTAGAAGGCTGCACATCAATAAGTCTTGGAGAAAGGAGGCCAGCCACAAGACATCTATTATAACCATCAGGAATGGCTTCATTCAAAGAAGGTCCTGATTTCTTTAAAAAGGTCAAGGTCTAAAAAATGAATTTTAACAGGTTCTCAGCAATCATTCACATTAAGAAATTAGTCAACAATCATTTTAAATAATCCAGTTTACAGTAAATTAACCACTATAACAACTACTCAAGTAGTTATTATTTTACTTATCATTTTGAATACAATTCTCCAAATGATCTCTGTTCTCACTGATGAGAGAATTCAATGCCAACCTATTCATGCCTTTTATCATCTGTGAGGCACTCATTCATTTATTTCAAATAAATTCATCTCAGTGAATCTACTAAACTTGTGTTCTCATTGATAGTCTACTTTTTTCTAGTCATACACTTTCTGCAGTTTGCTACATTTCTGAAAGAATTTTGTATGCATGGGAGATATCTTGAGGAGCCTTCTTCAAGGATAACAAATTTTCTGATTTTTTTTTTAGTCAAACAAAAGCAGTGTGGGTCCTTATATTCTCTACATCTTTCAATCAATTATATGATTAAAAACACAATTTGTAATTCTTCTTTTGAAAAGTATTTGTTTATATCCATTAGACCACTTAACTATTGAGGAATGGATCTTGGTCTTGAACATTTGCATAAGCTGTCTATATATTTTATATGTCAGTCCCTTATCAAGAACATTTGATGCAAAGATTTTTCCCCCCAATCAGCAGATTCTCTTATCCTAGTTGCAAAGATGCTGTTCCTCTAAAAGCATTGTAATTTCATTTAACTATCTTTTATGATCACTTCTACTTCTATCACTAACTAGATGGCCTCTGAGGTGCCTCTCAGTTCCAAATCTGCTTGGTTAAGAATCTTCCTCCAGACATAACAGAGAAAGCTAACTTATTTAATATTTACGTTATGTATCCATTGAGTTTACTGTGGCATATGCTGGAAAATTTTGGTATAAATCTAATTCTCTGACAGGATGCTTCACAGTTTGTCTAGCAGGTTACTGTCAAATAGGGAATTCCTCCTCCTTAAACTAGTTTACTCCTTCCACTGAATTATTCATTGGTATTACAGCCAATACCAAATAATTAAGGTGACTAAACTTCTAAATAGTCAAAACCAAAATATTTATAGCAGCATTTTTCTTTCTTTCTTTTTTTTTTTTTAAGGCAATTGGGGTTAAGTGACTTGCCCAGGGTCACACAGCTAGTAAGTGTCAAGTGTTTGGTCTGAGGCCAGATTTGAACTCAGGTCCTCCTGACTTCAGGGCCAGTGCTCTACCTACTATACCACCCAGCTGCCCCAATAACAGCATTTTTTCCAAGAAAAGTTAACAGAAACAAAAGTATATATATATATGTCCATCAACTGGGGAATGGATAGACAAACTGTAGTACTTATAACTAAAATTGAATATTACTGTTTAGTCATTTAGTTGCGTCCAACTCTTTGTGAATCCATATGGTGTTTTCTTGGCAAAGATACTGGAGTAGTTTGTCATTTCTTTCTCCAGCTCATTTTATAGATGAGGAATCTGAGGCAAACAGGGTTAAGTGACTTGCCCAGTCATACAGCTATTAAGTGCTTAAGGCCAGATTTAAACTTGGGAAGATGAGTCTTCCTGCCTTCAGGACCAGCACTCTACCCACTGTGCCAATTAGTGCCCAAAATGGAATAATACTGCACCATAAGAAATGATGACTATCATGAATTCAGAGAATTGTGGGAAGCTTTTATGTGCTGATGCATAGCAAAGTTAAGTGGAACTAAGAAAATAATATGCACATTTGACTACAACCATGTATATCTTAAGAATAAAAAGTACAAAATGCCAATGAATGCAGGATAATTTTAATGACCAAACATGTCCTGTGAGAAGAGATTAAAAAATGTCCATCCCTTCTATGCAAAGGCAGGGGATCATGGGTATGGAACATCACACATACTGACAGATTAGCTACTTTTCCTAGACGGATTTTTGTTAAGCCTTTCTTTTTGGGAAAGGAAGGAGAGAGGGATATATGTATATAGAAATGAAGGTGATGTAAAAATAAAAAAAAATTAATAAAAAGAAATTTTAAATGAAGCAGGATGCCTTCAAACTAAAACCCTGGTTACAAAAATAAAAAGCTAATTAAAAAAAAGAAAGTTTAAATGAAGCATTATACCTTCAAACTAAAACCCTGGTTATATTCTTTTCTATTTTAGTTTCTCTTTAGGGACAGCTGTGGTATAGTCAAGAGTAGATGGCATCTGAAATCTACAGAGATAAATACAAATATTGGTTCTCTAATTACTAACTCCACGATCAGGTCACTTGGCCTGCCCCATGAGCTATTGTGTACAATCTATGCAATAGAAGATATAATTGTAACAGTATCAGAAATATTAAGTTCATTTCTCCATATTTAGCTCTAAACATTGACCTACCTCCTTCTGAAACCCACTGCAAGTCAAGTGAACAACTCCTGAGTTTAACAAACAAGTAGCATCTAAAAAGGAACATAAAGCCATTTTAAAGTTTTAATGAGATCTGATGACATAAAATTTAACATTTCAGAACAGACTTAGCAAAGTACCAAAAAAGGTATGAAAAAAATCTAATTTATGTAAAAAGCATATGAACTTATATAAGTCACTTAACCTTGCTGGGTCTCACTGTCCTCAACCGTAAAATGAAAGTAAGGTAGCAGCTAAGGTCCCTTCTTTAGCTCTAAATCTATTATTCTATATAAATATAAAGTCAATTATCTAAAATGTTTCCCTTGTAACGATAAGAATAATAATCAGTAATTCTATATAAAATAAATCTATATAAATTCTATATATCATAATCAGATACTTAGTTTGTTCCTTAACTCTCTGACTCTTATCTTCAGTGAGGGATAACGATAGAGTAATAATCAATAATTCTATATAAAATAAATAAATCTATATATCATAATCATATACTTAGTTTGTTCCTTAACTCTCTGACTTTTATCTTCAGTGAGGTATAAACAATGAAGCTAAGAAAATACCCATAAAGGTATTTTACTAAGGGAAATATGATTCAATTGAAAAGAACTAAATTCACATATTTCGTTTGTAAGAGAAGTTTTCCAGAAAACTTCTCCCTTCTTATTAATAAAGCAAGGGAAACTTTACATGTTTAAACTCAGTAGTGACTTTTCCAACAGGTACAAATTGTTAACATAATACATACCAAAATTGTAAGTACTGGGATTAAAAAACTGCTCAGGAGGTGGGTATGAAGGAGGAACACCTCGATTCAAACTTCTTTCGTGTACCAAGATATCCAAGATGGAATTTGGAGAAGTCTTACTCACTACAGAATCCAATGACCACAGTGCAAAATAAGAGCAATTATGAAGAAATTCTCCTGGCCTTAAAAATAAAAATGGGAGGGACGGATAGGGGTAGGAGAGCAGTATTTTACTGACCTGATAACCACAGAACAAAATTAAGGAAAAGTTAAAAATCACTACAAAAGTAGTCATACCTTAAAGAATCTGGCATTTGTGCATGATACCAACGATTTACATCAAAAAGACCTAAATATGTAGATGGCTTTCCTTGTCCATATGTATTCACCTGCCAGCTAAAGACTGAAACACTGGTGTCAGGAGACAGAACTGGGGGAAGAAAGCAACATATTTTACATACACACACAGAGTAATTTCAACAATTCTCATTAAGTAATGTTTATTACACTTAAGGTATTAGGAATTCTCTTCCTCCTCCAATCTATTTTCCACATTTCTTCCACAATAGCTTCCCTAAAGCATCTGACCATATCACACTTAAATTCCAAAAGGTTCCATGGCTCTTTGGTGCCTCTAGGATAAAATAACTTCACAGATGTCTTCAAATTCAAGCTCTGCTAAGTACTACCTATTTAGCTTTAGGCTAAGTTAGAACCCCTCCTCTGGAGCTATTATTTTAGCTATAAAAAGCAGAGTAGAAAAAAGGAGACATTAGGAACAGAAATTAGCAAGTTAGGAAGGAAAGCTGGTTTAAGGAAAGGATAATAAATTTAATTTTTACAAAGAGAACCAAGGAAACAGCTTGAAGGATAAAGGCAGATCTTTTCCCAACTAGATTAGAGTCAATCCTCCAACTTCGGGCAGATGACTGAAGATGTTTCATAAGTGGTTCCAATTATATAGATTTCATTTTCAGTGTTCTAGAAAACTCACTAATAACACTTTTCAGTTGCAGAAAAGGTACAGATCTGCAATTGCTCTAAGTTTTTCAATGAGAGCACTGGTCAGGTCCCATTCTACAGGGACAATTTCTCTTATATGATTTGGGGGTTAGAGTAGATTAATAGACCCAATGGCCCTCATAATGTTTAATTTCCAGGAGAATTTCTAGAATTCATCTACCAGCCATAAGTCTTTTTTTTCTTTTGTTTTTTGTTAGGCAATGGGGTTAAGTGACTTGCCTAGGGTCACACAGCTAGTAAGTGTTATATGTCTGAGGCCAGATTTGAACTCAGGTCCTCCTGAATCCAGGGCCGGTGCTCTATCCACCATACCATCTAGCTGCCCCCACTAGCCATAAGTCTTAAATCAAACATGTACTAACTACCATAATGACAGCATACAAACCTTCATTCAGGCCTTCCTCCCTGTCGATGTGGCTTCGAAATTTCTCAATGCTTTGGCATCCCAAGAGTTTGGTGTTGCTAGACTGACCTCTCAAAGGAGATATACCACCTGTGAGATCTAGGCTATATCTCTCTTCACAGTATTCTAACCCCTGAAACACATATTCACACAAATTATTAAAGTTTTAGTTGATTTTCAAAATCATAAGCAAATTCATCTCATACCTAATACTCTAGGGAGGAACATATAAAGTACAAAAAAGAATACTACTAGACTATTCATGAAAAAAAAACCCTGCTTCTTAGGACAAGAATGTTTTATATAATAGTAACACTTCCTACAAACTGAGGAAGCGATAAGGAATTTTTCTTGACAAAGAGAATAACACTATCACTAAAAAAATCGTTAAAAATCTGTATACAAGTATACTAAATTTAAATAAAAGATTAAAATGAAGTCAAAATTATGATTAAAGTCAAAGATATATCTGTTTAGGGAGTCTGAAGAGATGGGTCACATGGAAGAAACTCACAAAACTTACCAGAAAAGGCAGGCCTAGGCTACTGTGGCTTGCTTAATCCTGCACTGCCAAAATAAAAGTTTTAATATAATAATAATCTAAATGATTATTATGGAATCTTCTAGTCTAGCCAGAATCTGGGTAATGGGAGATACAAGGACTATCTTCATTCTTAGGATAGGACACTCCCTAGAACTGGAAGGGAATATTTGTGGTGGCAAGGGCCTGGATTCATAGAAATTGAAAGTTTCTCTCAGAGCTCCCCACTACCTGAGGCTGAGGTAGAGGAAGGATACTACTGACTGTTGGCTAAAAGAATGTTTTAGATCATGCCTACCAGTCTGAATTATAAAATAATCTACTTACTAACCTTTTTCAAAGAGGCAGATAAAATAAGACTAGCATCAGCATTCTCCTCATTCTCAGAAATAAAGCACCCAGAAAAAGATAAGAATCCGTTAAGCAATCCTTTATACCAAAACTTGAAAAATCAACAACGCACAGCTTGTGTTGAGAAATACAGAATCAAAGCATATTTCAGAGCTAGAAAGAAATCAAAATCTTTAAAAATGAGGAGTTAGCTACCTGACCAGTGATGTAGGCAAATGAGACTCAGAGGACTTAAAATTACTTGCACAAGGCCACATATCTTGTTAGTGACTGAACAAGATTGGAACATAAGTGTCCTGACTCCTAGTACAGTGCTCTTATCCCTATAATAAGGGATAGTTGCTCAACAAGCACTGATTTTATATATTAATTTTTCAATGGAAAAAGTAAAAATATTTAGAATGGTGATATCTCAAATAAATAATAATAATAATGTGTTATGATTTTTTTTTTACCTCATATAAGATTTGTCCTGATGCCAAGCACTTTCTATCACCAAAGGCCAGTTGAAGCAGGTGCAGACTCAAAACGTCTCCCTCACTGAAACCACATAAAAATGTAGCTATGAGCACTTTACATGTTTCATACACTAAATGCTTCTACTACTGTTGATATAAATTTTTCTTAAATAACCACATTTAATTTTGTATATATGAACTGATAAAACTTGAGCTGCCAAAAAATTATTTTTAACTGGTACATTTCAAAAACAATGTAACTTAGTGTACAAGTGTAATTATTTACATGGTTTAGTTAATATGATACAAGAAAATAAATGCACATAGTTTCTGTCAAGGTCGTTTTATAGAATAAATCAATAGGCAGTTATCAGATTTGCTCTATAAATAAAAATATTTATAAAATTAAAAAAAAAACCATACAACCCTAGCTGTAAATTGAAATTCTTATCCTAAAATGTGGTTATTCTTTTACAAAAGTCTTTTTTTTAAAAATTAATTTATTTTGAATTATCAACAACCACTTCCATATGCTTTTGAGTTTAAAATTTTTCTCCCCCTTCCTCCCCACCACCCTCCCCAAGATAGCGCACAATCTGATTTGGCTATACATATACATGCCTATTAAACATATTTTCACATTAGTGATGTTGTAAGTAAGAATCAGAAGCAAGAAGAACCACCTTTTGGAAAGAGGAAACAAAACACAACAGAAGAAAAAAAAAACCAAATAGTATGTTTTGATCTGCATTCAAACTCCACAGTTCCTTCTTCTTCATGGATATCATTTTCCATTATGAGGCCTTTGGAGATGTCTTAGATCCTTATATTGCTAAGAAGGATTAAGGCTATCAATATAAGTCACTGCATAATTTAGCTGTTACTGTGTACAACGTTCTCCTAGTTCTGCCCACTTCACTCAGCATCAGACCATACAAGTCTCTCCAGGTTTTTCTGAAATCAGCCTGTTCATCATTTCTTATAGCACAATAGTATTCCATTACATTCATATACCACAACTTGCTCAGCCATTCCCCAATTGATGGGCATTCTCTCAATTTTCAATTCTTTGCCACCACAAAAAGAGCTGCTATAAATATTTTTGCACATGTAAGTCCTTTTCCCATTTGTATGATCTCTCTGGGATACAGCCCTAGAAGTGCTATTGCTGGGTCAAAGGGTATGCACATTTTTATAGCCCTCTGGGCATAGTTCCAAATTGCTCTCCAAAATGGTTGGATCATTTCACAACTCCACCAGCAATGTATTAGTGTTCCAATTTTCCCACATCTTCTCCAGCATTTATCATTTTCCTGTTTTGTCATGTTGGCCAATCTGACAAGTGTGAGGTGGTACCTCAAAGTTGTTTTGATTTGCATTTCTCTAATCAATAGTGATTTAGAGCATTTTTTCATATGACTATAGACGGCTTGAATTTCTTCATCTGAGAACTGCCTGTTCATATCCTTTGACCATTTATCAATTGGGGAATGGAAAGTCTTTTTTTTTTAAACAGAGAAGATAACTAAGGAAGACAAGTTTCATATGAATAAATTACTTCAAGGACACAAAAAAGTGGGAACAGTTATATAGCAGTCTTTTTTTTTCTCCCGCATTCACTCATTCACAGCCACAGACCTCTAAAATTCCCTGTAGAAAAATTCCCTGTAGAAAGTAATCACTCCCAACAACACCAACAACAAATTACAAATGCAGCCAGTTATTGAGTCTTTTTAGTTACTTTTAAATGATAAATTAACATTCACCAGTATTATCTTGAACATAAGCATGTAATTTGGAACTAAAAATCAGCATCTCCCCCCCAAATACAGGCACTTGATTTTTTTGATGATCACATATATATATCACTTTTTCAGGGCAAAACAACCCCCCCCAAACCCCTCTAACCATCTGCCCCTCAGGGGATGGGATGGGACACAAGACAACTCTTTCCCAAGAAAACACTCCAGAATACCACACTTGGAAGGATGATGAAGCCACAACCCACATTTTGAGAAAAAGTACTGTCTTAACATAAATAGATTATATAGGAATGGTCCATCCAAGCTCCAAAAACTGTAGTAGGCAACACTTGTTATTATAACACCACAATCTTTCCAACTTAACCGAAATTATTCCTTAACTACACTCCAGAAAAGTAAGGGTTGGATAAGTACAAGGAAGTATATTTATAAAACAGAGGACTTTAAATTATTGGTTATAACCAAAAAAAGAGGGAGGGAGGGAGGGGAATAAGAGTCACTGTAGTTTAGATTCTGAAAATTACAGGATATAGATTTAGAGCATGAAAAGCATTCAACTAGTCTAGCTCAGTCAGTTTACATATGAGAGAACTAAAAAGCACAGAGCTTAAATGACATGCCAAGTTCACAGAAGCAGCAAGGAGCTGAGTGGGGATTTCAACCCACGTCTTAAGACTCCAAATCTAACAACATTTACAGTATGCTATATTGCCCAAGGCGTAAAAGGCAGCTAAATGGTAGCCATCATCAACTAGACTGTCACAAACAAATCAGTTATCTTTAATCATATATAAAACTAGGATGCATCCACACTGAATACTATATAAAGGTTAGGACATCATATTTCAAAATGATAGGACTGTTAAAAACAGAAAAGTAGATCAGTAGAAGAAACTAAATAAAACCCCAAAGTAAGACTTCAGAGTTAAGAGAAATTCAAGTACAAACTATAGTAGAAAAGACTCTTATTCCAAACAAACCGCTGAAAAGGCTGAAAGAGAGTGTGGCTTAGACCAGTACCTAACACCATATTCCACAATAAACTCAATACTGAGTATGCGATCAAAATGCAAAAAGTAACAATTTTTTAAAAAAGAAAATAAGGACAATAGAAGTAAGATAGCTTTCACAACTATAGCTAGGAAGAAATTTATTTTCTTTTTCTTTTTTTTATTTTGAAGCATTCAGGGTTAAGTGACTTGCCCCTGGCTATACAGCTAGGAAGTGTCTAAAGCAGGATTAGAACTCAGGTCCTCTTGACCCCAGCACCTGTACTCTATCTACTGTACCATCTAGCTACCCCAGTAAGTTTCTTAATAAAAAAATAAAATCAATGCAGCTAGAACAGGGGAAAATGTTCAGAAGGTAAAAAAGTGTTTATTAGCAATCTCAGAAGGAAGTCTGATATCTGAGATAAAGAACTGACAAAAATACAAGACACCAAGCAAGAGCACTCCACAAACCTCCAGTCATTTAATTCACTAGCTCTGCCACTGTCCCATTGAAGTCTTCCAGGTCTTTCCATTTGCCTTGCAAGTAAACTTTCCTTTCTGTGTTGCCCCACCACAATTATAATTTGAAAAAGATCCTTGAAAAAACACCCTGCCTCAAGTTTTCTATTTGTATTTCCAGCACTTACCATAGCACTTAGCTCATAGTAAGCACTTGATGCTTTTTTATTCTTCTAGTTATTTCCCAATATCTGAGTGGTCAAAGGACATGAACAATTTTTAGAAGGAAAGTAAATTACCTACAACGACATGAAAGATTGATGAAAACCATTTAAAAAGATTTAATTTGTTTCATGCCTCATTCTTCAAATTTGCAATTATAAAAAATGAAGTTAATGTTGGAGAAACTGTGGAAAAATAGGTACACAATACTAATAGTACTGTGAACTGGACCACCTTTCTAGAAATCAATTTGTAATGTGTCACTAAATTGCTCGTGATGCCCAGAGTTAGTGCTATCCCCCCTCCCCGTTTTCTACCAACCTCACTGATGGGGTATGGGCCCAAACTGAGAACTTTGCCCCTTGTACCAAAAAGATCTTGGCTCCCATTTGTCCAAGACAGAAAAACCCTTAAACTTTCTTTGACCTCACTCTGGTCTCAAATAGTTACCTGAGGCTATACTCCACTCAATGGCCTTTCCTTATCGATGATCCCAATCTCCCTCTGAAAATCTAATGAAGTTTAGACCCTAGTATATTTCCCACCTTTGATCTTATCCAGACCTCATTCAAACCTCTTCCTTCTAGTCCCTTCATTATCTTTTCCCATGGTCTATTCAACCTCCCAGACATTCCCTTCCAAATTCTCCCTAAACTCACCTCAGCTTCAGGATCTTTCTCCCTGCTCCTCCTCCAAACACCCAAAATTATTTGTATATAAGATACACCTTGGCCCCCATTTAAACACTGAGATTTCCTCTTGCTAACTTGTTCTTACTGGCGTCACTAATGTTCAGATTCCTTAAGAGCCTGGCCTGTATAGCCCATCCCTAATAAAACTTTTTCTCTGGCTGAAAGAAAATTTGGGTCAAATTCTTTCAGGCAGTGCCTTTCAAGGTCCCAGAACCCCAAGAATCCAGACCTCATCATAACCACTAGCCAATCGTGTGGCACATATTGATTTTGTATATACATCTCTTCCCCCAACAGAACATACTCCTTGAAGGGACAATTTGTCTTTGTATCCTCAATAATTAAACAAGTGCTTAGCACAACACTATAGTAGATACTTCATAAATGTTGAGTCCTTAACTCCACTAAAAATTCTGTCTTAAATCCTCAACTTCAAAGACTTCATTCTTCAACTCCATAACAAAATAGTTATATTAGACCTGTTTATAATGACTAAGCATATACTAAGTACCTATTTTGTGGCTGTTACCCCAGGGCCTGGTGGTTGTAAATCTTGGGCTCTGCTACTTGCTTCCTCTGTGACCTTGACAAATCTCACCTCTCTATTCTTAGCTTTGCCATCTGCAAATTAAAAGGGGGTGAGGTGTATGTGAACGAGTTTTCTCTGAGGTGTTTTCCTAAATCTACAAACCAATGATCTTGAAATACTACTCTCAGACAACATTTCAGGCTTGGTTCGTTGACAAATCCTAGTCTCCTATTCAAACTTCACTTGCACCTTTAAAATCGGCTTTTACCACATGGTCTGCAACTATAACATAAAACCATGCCCAACAAGACTACCTAATTCTCTGAGATCCAATATAAACTTCTTTAGCCCTTCTCCTCTATTCCCTCAAAACTTTTCACCATCATTTTCACTTTTCTCCTCTTTTGCTTTGGCCACAAAAGAATAGGCATTTTTACAGTTCACTAAGTCCTCTATCCATGCCCTTTATTTCATATCCTCCTGCCTCCTCCAGGACTTTTACTCCATTGATCATTCCTCCTCTCCTACATTTTTAAAAAATTCTCCCTTTCTCCTCTGGTTCTTTCCCATCTGCCTAAAAACATATAAGATCTCCAAAAGTTGGGAGGAAAAAAGACTTCTCATGATGTAGCTTATTCACCTACCAATCCATCCGATAAACTTCTTGAAACTGTCAATAATTGCCCTCTATCAAACAACCTCCTTCACCACTTCACTGAAACTCCCTTAGAAAGTTCATAGGGCATCAGATCAACAAACCCAAAGGCCTTTTTTCATCCTCATGCTTCCTCTTCTAAAGTGACAGATCTAACTACTTCTCTATTGTAAACTCTCTCCTCACCAGGCTTTAAACATAACACATTTTACTGGTTTATTTCTTACCTCTCTACCCATCCCTCTGTCTTCTTTACTAGTTTCTCATTATTTTCTTGATCTCTTAATGTGGAGATTTCCCAAGAAGCTTATCTTTGAACCTCATCTCCTGTTTTCTCTCTACTTTATATTCTGATAATCTCATCCACTCAGAGGGTTTCAATGACCACCTCTATGCAGTAGATACTAATATTTGGATCTCTAGACTTCACCTGGTCTTTCTTCCAAGCTCCAGATTTATATCTTAACCTATCTAAACATTTTGAAAATGTGGCCTTTTTGCTAATGACTTTCTTCGGAGATGGCATATACCTAGACACTGGAATCTCTGAATCAAATACTGCATCATTATTAATGATTTTTGTAAATTCAAGCTGATAATGGGGCAAAATTATTATTTTCCATATTCCTTCAGTAACATGATTTTTAAATTGCAAGAGAGAAATGATTATTTGTCTTGGAGAACAAAAGACAAAAGGGAAGAGATTAAAGACATAATTAGGAGGGTTAAATGATGAGAGGTACCAAACAACCATATAATGTACTTCTATATTGTGCCACATATGTTGTTAATTTCTGTTCTTCATTGATTTACTCTGAGATGATATTCTAGCAAATTAACTGAGTACAAGAGTTTCTTCTTGTTTACAGACAGCTATTCTAAAGTATGCAAAGCAAATTTCACATGTTAACTCTTGATCCTCACAACAACTCTTGGGTGGTTACCAATAATACAATTCTCCTCATTTTATAAATGAGGAAGCTAAAGCAGACAGAGGTTTAGTGATTTGCCCAGGGTCACATGATTGTAGTAGGTATCTTAGGCTGAACTGGAACTCCAGTTCACTACTTTATCCACTGCACTACTAGTTTCCTTTGCTATCAACAGCCATGTAGAAAAAAACACTCTAAATGACCAATAATTAGAGGCAGATAGGTAATCCAATGAAAAGAGTGCTGTGCATGTAGTCAAGAAGACCTGAATTCAAATCCAGGCTCAGACTCTTAATGACTGTAAGACCCTAGGCAAATTACTTAACCTGTTTGCCTCAGTTTCCTCGACTGTAAAATGGGGATAATAATAAAACCACCTATACTTCCTAGGGTTGTCATCAAGATAAAAAGAGATTCTAAGGACCCATATGTACAAAAATATCTAGAGCAGCTTTTTGTGGTGGCCAAGAATTGGAAATTGAGGGGTGCCCATCAATTGGGGAATAGCTGAATAAGTTGTGGTATATGAATATAATGGAATACACTACTGGGCTATAAGAAATGATGAGCAGGCAGCTTTCAGAAAAACCTGGGAAGACTTGTATGGACTGATGCTGAGTGAAGTGAGCAGAACCAGGAGGACATTGTACACAGTAACAGCCACTTTGCACTATGACTAGCTTTTATAGACTTAGCCCTTCTCAGCAATGCAAGGATCTAAGACATTTCCTGTAAATTTGAATGCAGATCAAATTCAAAAATTGCCATTTTTTTCCTTCTGTTTTGTTTTGTTTCCTCTTTCTTGTGGTTCCTCCTATTGGTTCTAATTCTTCCTTACAACATTACTAATGTGAAAATATGTTTAATAGGAATGTATATATAAAGCCTATATCAGATTGCGCTCCCGTCTAGGGGAAAGAGGGGTGAAAGAAGGAGAAAAATTTTAAACTCAAAAGCTTATGGAAGTGATTGTTGATAAATCAAAATAAATTATTAAAAAACTTAAAAAAGAGAGATAAAAAGAGATCCTGGCACATAGGAGGCACTGAATACATCCCTACTTTTTCCTTTTTTTTTCTTTCTTCTTTTAAACACAAAATCCTATTGGCTTTTTAAAAAGCCCTTCATAATTTGACCTCTTCCTACCTTTTCAGTCATCCTACTCCCACCTAGCTCTCCCTATCCTATACAATACATTTCAGTGACCTTAGCCTTATTTTGTTTTACTTGCCCTAGATACCCTATCTGGCTGTCCTCTATGATCAGATTTCTTTCCTTCAATTCTTAGCTAAAATCCCATCTTCTGCAAAAAGCCTTTCCCAGTAAAGCTAGTACCTTCCCTCTGAGAGTGCCTGAGAGAGACTCTGAGCATCTTCCCTGGCTTTATCCATGCTAGGAATTCTCATTACCTCCTAGCTTCCCTGGCTTCTTTCAAGTCTCAGCTGAAGTTTCACTCTCTTCAAAAAGCCTTACCCAGTCTTCCTTAATGCATTAGATAGATAGATAGATAGTTTAAATGTCTTCCCCATTAGACCATGAGCTCCTTGAGAAAAGATACTTTTCCCCCCTTTCTTTGTATTCCCAGAACTTAGCAGAGAGCCTAGCACAAAATAGGCACTTAATGCTTACTGACTGACTGCTGATAACATCCACAGTGCCTACACCTCAGAGAGGTGCTGTGAGAAAAATGTTTTGGAACTGTAAAACACTATATAAATGTGAGAAACATATATGAGAAATAGCATACATTTAAATTTTTCAACTGCACTTTTATGTTGTAGGAAATCAATTTAGCCTATCTTTTATACACGTTAATTCATTAAAATGAATGTCAGAAATAACAATGAGAACAACAGAGAAGCAATGCTTTTCACTAATAAATATTTCACTTTCATATTGCAGAAGCTCACATATATTTTATTTACCTATCTTGTGTAGACTGAACAGCCCATAAGTAGCAGCAATTTCGAGGATCGTTTTCAGGTTCTTGGAAAGTAACAGCATAAACAGGTACTCTTCCTCCTTCTAACTGGGCATAGTACCTGTAAAAGGCAAAATAGAGTATTAATAAACTTTACATATTTTAATTTATAACCTTAGTTACAAAGTTTTCCAATTCTGTAAAATTATCTGAGAAATGATACAAAAAGTATCATGGCATCATTTCATTATCCTAATTTCTAAAATCATATATCTGTCCTCAAAATAGCATGCACGGATTGCTTCAACATAACAACCTCTCTCCCTTTCAATAGCCCTCTATGGAAAGTTATTGTGGGAATTTATGGATGTTAAATAAAAGAACAAAAATATCACTAAAAGAGAATCATATAAGGATAGTTACTGAAACAGCTGAGTGCTGACAGGCACAAGCCAAGAAGTTTCTAGGATTTCCCTTAAATTTTACATTTGTAATCCAACTTCCTCAGAGGTAAATTAAATTAATTGTCACGATATTTTTAGCTGGTAAAATGGCTGATTCTACAGAATCAAGCAATATTATATAAACAAAAACTTAGTATTAAACATTTTGGGGGGTCAAAATATTACTTAAAAAAAAAACCCAAAACCCTGACTCTGTATGCAAATAAAGTTCTCATATGAGATAAAAGAGACTGATTTAGATGGAGAATGTTGAAGCTGGAATAAATATCAGATGTCACAGACTAAGGATTCTTATAATACAAAGTACTAACATAAACATTAACTAGCATGGTCAGGGATTTTCTGATTAGCAATCTCTTAATTTTTCAAATTTTCAAATTTCCTAATTTTCAAAAATACTAACAAAGAAAACATTAAAGCTATACTCTGCATAAAATTAATCCTTTGTTAATTCAAAATATACTTAAGTAGATAACAATGCCTTAAAATATTATAGACATCAATTAATAATTAATTTTAAAAATTTTAGACAGTGATTTAATAATTAATATGCAACATACATACAAATTTTACACTTATAAACAGCCTTATACTTTTCAGAAATTTCTTCCTTTTTTTTATTAAGATGTGTAGAAGTGATAATTAATAAAGCTTGCTGATTGAAAGAATATAGATAGAGGTTCACTACATATGATATTTGAAGTTATGATCACGTAATGATCAGTTACATTTAGCTATCAGATACAGAACCTCTCTTATTCTATGAAGATACACAAGTTCTGAAATTTGGGCAGTAGGAGGGCCAGAAGAGGATTCAGGACTTATGATTTTACTGTAGTAGGCAACCACTCTACCGATAAAGATCAGCATCTGTTACTCTACTTAAGAGTTACCTGGGACCTTTGAGAGGTTATAAATTGCTCAAGGTCACAGAGGCAGCATGTGTCAGAGGTGGTACCTGAACTCAGGTCTTCCTGACTCCAAGGTGGCCCTCTGGTCACTATTCCACACTGCCTCTAAATATTTATTAAAGAAAACCATTCTCAACAATTTTATTAAGTGCTCGTTCTGGATTACTGCAGTTAAGTACCAAAGGCAGAGTTAGTTTCAATACTCAAATAATGGATTTATGTTTTTAAAGCTATAAAATGTGCTAAAAACAGTACATTAAAAGTTGAATTATCTTCCACACAGCCTAGAAATCAGCATTTTTGAAAACTCAACACAAATCTTTAATCCATTAACCAAGCATAATGCTGTTAGTAAAATTTAATTGAACAATTATTAGCTGCAAGGCACGGGGGATACAAATACATAAGTGAGACAGTCCCAGCCCTCAAGGAGCTTACATTCTACTTACATTATACTCTGAGCTTAAGTCTGCACACAGACATTTAAACGGAGATATTCTATGGAATGTATTAGGGGGGAAATCCTTTAAACAGTGGGAGATACGGGACTGTCAGAGGTGAGAAGTCAGGGCTTGAAATGAAGAACTGGGAGTCATCCAAGTACAGGCAGAAACTGAAATCATGTAAGCACATCAACAATCCAGTGGAACTATTACAGAGAGAAGAGCAAAGGGTCTATGACCATGTGGAAGCCTATACAGGTAACAGGTGAGTGAAAACTGTAAAGGGAACACACATACAAAGCAAAATATAAAAAAATGGGAGCTGACAGTGTCCCAGAAACCAAGGAGCAAAGTTCCAATGAGTAGAGGATTGCCAAAAGTAATGAAAACTCAAAAAAATCAGGAAACAAAAAGTCTATTACTGGAATTCTATAATGTTAGATTTAAGTGTAGTGATAAAGGGGAGAAAGATAAAGTCAACAAAAGAGATGACTGATAGGCATTAAAATATTTGACTGTAAAGGTAACAGAGAATTACTGGAATTTAGTAGCAGGGTGATATCAGACCTGAATTAAATTTATTTTGGGGTCTATGTGGAGGATTGGAGTAGGGACAGACTTGAAGCACGAGGACAAATCAGGAAGCTAAAACAACAGTTTAGGCACATGATGAAAGCCTAAACTAGCTGTAGATGTGAGAGACTTTATGGTGGAAAAACATGATTTGACAACTGACTGAGTAAGAGTAATGAGGGAGAGTGAGGAGTCAAGAAAACATACAGGTTACAAATCAGATGACTAGAAGGATTATTTCCTTGACTGAAATAGAGTTTCTGAAGGGGGTGGAGTTTTGTCCAAAAAGATAATAATGACTTCTGTTTTTTGTATCTTAAGTTTGAGATGCCTACAGAGTATCCAATTAGAAATGTCCAGTAGGCAACTGGTGATAAACTGAATGCCAGCATATCCAGCCTATGTTCAACTAGTGGGACGCAATGAGGTCACCAAGTGAGAGAGAATACATAGAAAAGAGAACACAGGAAAAGCTTGGAGCTGGAAAATCGTAGGACAAAAGACCACTAGGCTTTTGTGGGACAGTCATAAAAGCAAGTTCAAATTGCTTAAAGATCATTTTGCAAACAGAATAAATGCAGAAGCTGAGTCAATTTTTTGACTGATATTCCCTTCCACTGCTCTTGAAGTAATCCAGAGTAAATTTTTCAACTTGATTTTCTATTACTATTTTAAGATTAGGACAGTATTCTAAGTAGTACTAATTGCCTCATCATATAGTAATAGCTCTTAACTATCTACTGGAAATTTTTACTGACCATGCCACATGTCCCAAATATACTAATTAACAAATTTTTTTTCATATATGGAGATGACAGATAATAGACATGGTCAGTTCTGTTTTCTCTCCAAGGCTGTGTGGTAAAGCTCCTACTATCTTCTTAAAGTACAAAAGTTCTAAATGGTCAAGAAAAAGACAATTGCTAGGGGTAGAGATTAAAGTTGAAAACAAATTTTGAAGATTATGAAATAAAAAATTATCATCTAACATTCTGAGAAAAGAGAGTGATTAAAAGAAAATTCTTTTTGTTCCTCTTATGCTTCTTTCCTGTTACTGTGCAAACCAAAGCATATAAGTGAAAAGCTTACAAAGCACCACTATTCACAAAATCATTACGAAACAAAAATCTCATTTCTGACCCCTTACAATAACAGTGTTAAAAAAAAAACCCTACCTTCAGAATTGTCATACTATAACTTCCCCCATCCAATGCATTTAACTTGTCTGAAGATTTCTACTAATCTTAAAAGAAATTTTTCCTCCTAGAACTTGTTCAGGTGGCAAAACCATCAGTATATACCACTTCCACTGTGTTATGGTAAGAACAAACAATAATCTTATTTTCTATACCACACTCCTCTCATTCAAAATGTAGCCAGCTAAGGGCACGGATTGAAGCATATACTCAATGTCTGCTCAAAAGTTTGTTTTGCTTAATTGTAATATTTATTAAAAGGGTGTGTTCTATTGCTAAAGTGATACTAGGAAATGACATTGATGTAAAATTATTTTTTTAAAAAGCATCATTAAAAGATAAGAAATAAAATAAGAGAGTGTTTTCCAACTCTGAATCTTAAAATTGTACTGAAAAAGTTTCAGCAATCTGACACCAAACTCCTTGCTCTGTTGCCATACAAGAATTCCACCATTCATTTAATTTGAGATTTTGGATGCCTTGATAAACAAATCTATGTTGTCTCATTTAGGTAACTACCAGTTATTTTATACAAAAGAACGAATTAAATGATGCTGTCTCCCTGTCTAGTAATGTAAGCCATGATTTAGAAGCTAATTTTTGTTGTTTTAATATTTATAAAAAAGCTCAAACTAGCAATAATCATCCATTGCAGACAAAAATAAATTGATTATACTCACTCCCTTTTCAAACTTTTCATGTTCCAAAGGGCTAAACAGCCATCAGAAAAACCTGCAGCAAGTTGATTGGTCCTGCTAATATAGCTAAGGGTTGAAACTGCTGTTCCTGATGGGCTTAGTAACTGGAAACAGAGATGTCTTCCCTCTCGGGTCACACCTTCTCTGATGTGTGGTACTTCAGCTGGGATGCCAGTTATAACTTCAAGATCTAGATATAATAATGAGTGATGAACAAGCTTATAAAGACTATAAAAACAAAAAAAAAAGTCATCCATTATTCAGGCCTCATTAATTTCTTAAGAGTATAAAAGACAAAACTGATCCCTGAAGACTAAGAGCATGCTTTTATCTCTCATATCTTTATCTCTCAATGAATTACACACAAACAGAATACCAACCTTTTAAAATAAACTTAAAAAGGAAATATGCTTTGAATGAATATTAAACTTTATTTTAAAAAATGTAGTAATTTTCAGAAATTACTAAATGCAAACATCTGAAAGTTAACACATTCTCCCTAAAATCTGCTAATGACAATTCCAATAAACTTAACCTCTGCCACTTTTTAACAAGACTGCCACATTCCACCCTTCTTGATGCACTCTTCTTTTGAGAATTATGAATTCACTCTCTTGGCTCTCCTACCTCTCAGATCCTCCTTCCCGCTTCCTCTGCAGCTCTAAACCTTCCTCCTGCCTCTCACAGCTCTATACTCTTCTTTCTCTAGACCCTTTTCCTTGGCTACCTCACCTATTCCCACAGTGTCAATGGTCAGTTCAATGCATATGACTCCCAACCCCATATATCCAGACCCAGTATCTCCCACAAACTCCAGTCTGGCTTTTCAAAATAGTCTGCTAAGCTGCTTTACCTGGATACGCTACCGACATCTCAACTGAAGTAATAATATTCCCTATAATCCCATCATTTTGTTTTCACTTAACTTTTCAATATTTTTCATTACCTTGTTTATGCGCCAATCACCCTAGGATTTAAACCTGACAATCATCTTTGACACTCATTCTTCCTTGCTTACAAAGCCACCATACTAGTTAAGGTTCTCATTAGACCACTGGAATGACCTGTATGGTCCCCCTCTGTCTCTTCTCTCCAAATAATCCTTCGCACAGCTAACAAGATAATCTTCCTAATACAGAGGTCTGGCCACCTCACTCCCTTTTTCAAAAAACTTTGATGGCTCCCAATTACATATATAATAAATATAAATTCCCTGATCTAGTATACATGGAATTTGTATTTTGAACTAAATCAAAAGTTTCTTTTTAGCTTTATTTCATTTTACCTTTGCAACATATATTTATGTTCTTGACAAAATGGATTATTTGCTGTTCTGGAATCTTGCATTACACTCTTCGATTTACATTTACCCCCATGCCTATAATGCACTCTCTCCTCATCTTCTTTCTTTCAATACCTACCCTTTAGGTGCCACTCTTACCACAAAGCGTTTTCTAATTCCCTGAACTAAATATAATCCAACTAGTCCTCAAATATTTCTAAAGCACTGCAGCATGGAGCTCTCTTTCATCCCTTCATCATATTCTACCTTGTAACAGACTCGGTATTATTTACTCTAATGTAGAGACAACAGACAGTGTGTGCTGGGCAAGTCAAACACCACCACGGCTTTGGGTCACCATCTGCTCCCAGACTCTGATGGAGAAAGATCAGAAGGATACTGAACTCAGGACTCTTAGGAATATAGCATCACCTAAACGACTGAATCTGCTTCCAGCCTAGTTCCAAAGACATCACTGAAGGACGAAATCATTGCAAACAAGGGACCCATCTTTCGTATCAGCACTAACACCTGCTGCTAGCACCCCCTAGAACACTGGTCCTCCTTGCAGCACAGCCCTAACAGCCTTTATCTAAGGAAGCAATTCTGTGGAGAGGGGGGTCTAGGTGAAGCAGCAAGACATCTAGAGAGACAGAAAACAGAATGCTCTAGGTAAGCCCAAACCACCACCACCACCACCTCCTCCCTTCAGATCCTGTTGGAGACAGGAAATGCAGTCTGACAAATACTCCAGAAGTGGCTACAGATACAGCTGTTTAAGATCCAGAAAAGAAAGTTCTTGCTACCAAAGTCCTTGGCACTGTCAAATGGTCCAACATCAGAAAATGACATGATTTTAAGAGTGGAAATGACATTAAAGAAACATTACCATTTTCTTTGCTGCTGCACAATGATGACTATAGGACCTTTCTATCTGACTTGAAAGCAAAAGCTTTCATATATGCTGTTTCCTCCATTAGAATGCAGGTTCTTTAAGAGCAGGAAATGTCTTATTTTTCTGTTTGCATCCCTAAGCATTTAGCACAGAGTAAACACTTAACGATTCATGCACTCATGTTAGGTAAAACCCTTCACCGAGACCAGTACCTGAAGATCAGGAAATGCATTTTCTTTATTGTATACCCTGTACTAAAGCACAATGCCACGAACAAAAAAGACACCTTAAGTGTTTAATTTGTTGATTTAAAGCAAGCATATTTTAAAACCAATGATTCATTTCTATTAACTATGTTAGAACTTTCAAGCATTAACTCCCCCCCAATAAAAATATTACCTGATGCCTCTATCTCATTTTGACTGCAAGATAAGTCATCCAAACACAGATCAATGAGAAGGACCTGCCCAACATCAGTAACCACAGCTGCCACACCAAAAAGCCATCGAAGACTCTGGTGCAAATGCTGAGTACTTGCACTGGCTCCTCCATGATTAATTATTGGTTCAATGGCAGTTACCTAAAAACAGAATAAAAGATCTATTTTTTTCATTTGTGTAGTATAAGAAAATTTTAATAAAAATACACTGTACAAATTCTGAAAGAAATTACCTCAATTATGCTGGATTAAATAATAGCAAGCCACTAATATACAGTATAATAATTTATACTAGGTAACCTAAATCATATTAATCATAAGTATATTGGAGCCTTCAGATTCGTATAGAATTATATCCAAAGAATTAATCACATAAAATCCTAAGGCCCATACTAATTCAGGAAGGAATAAAGCAGAAAAAAAAAAGATCATTTAAACTTTAAAAGAGAAAAACCTATGTAATTTCCAAATAGTGTTTAATATTATTTTAATTACCCATATCATTTTCCAGCACAGCTAGTAAGTGTCTGAGTTTGAAATAGAACTCTTCTCCACTCCCCGCCCTGCACTCTTATCTACTGAGCCACCTAGCTGTCCTGAGGGAGGTAGTGAAGGCAATTCAAAATATTTAAATATTTTTGAGGAAGCAAGTTCATAGTGATGAAGTTTGCACTTAAGGTCACATTGCTAGTAAGGAGGAGCTTGGAATCCATTCCAGGCCTTCTTACTTGCACAGAATGATAGTGGTGTAAAGATATCTTCTAGTTTGACTCCCTCATTTTACAGATGACGAAGCTGAAGTTCTTGAGAGGTTAAATGACTACTTAATATATAGCTAATGGGAGGTGGAACCAACATTTAAATCCAGGTCTTTTGAAACCACATCTACTGTTGTTTCCAGTATAGCACAGAAAAACTGTTCAAGCTATTTTTTGTTTGTTTCTTAAAGAAAATCAGATATACTAAGTAATAGTATATAATGAATAGAGAAACTCTTGGTATAGTACCATCTATGATCTTAGGAACCCCATATATATCCTCCTTTTATTCTGAAACATGAGAAACAATATAAAGTTTAGATTAGATGAAAAAATGAATACCTCAAACTCTCCATTCTTGAGAAATACATACCCTTCCAGGAAGGACAACTGCTTTAACTACTCTTGAAATCCCAAGGTCATAAAGACAGAGAACACTCCCTTCTGTTTCTTCCAAACCAATTAACAATCCAGTTCTTTTCTGCCAAGAGAATTCTTTCACTGCAAGGACAGTGGGACGCTGCTCATTTATTCCACTAAATCTATATGCAGACAACCGCTCGCCAGTAATAGAGTTTACTACTTCAAGTTGTGGACCACAAGCCAGGCAAGCTAATCCGTTCCTCCCTAGAAGCAGAAGAAAAAATGAGTTAGTTTGATACAGTTAAACTACAGAAACATGAAACAGGGCAACCAGATGTCCATTTATTATTAAGCATTTACTACATAAGAGGAGAAATGCTAGGTGTTAGATAAACAAAGATTAGTATAGCATTACTAAGACTTTAAAAAGAAAAACTTTTTTTTGCTGATGGAACCCCTTGAGGCCATTAAAAGCACTTCACAATTTTCCAAAATGTGATCCTGCTGATGATGAGGTCTCTGGGGGTGCTTGGAACCCTGAAATGCAAGGGTACAGGGCAAGTCTGCCTCGAAAGAATTCGACCACTCAAGCCTTCTTTTAGTCCAAGTAGTGAGTTCATTATGACACTGGTTGGGTGGGCAAGATTCCTAGTGAGTCTGCACTTAATGCAGAGTGAATGCATAGAGTGAAAATGATACTTTTATACAGAGAAAGGGAAAAAAGGTAAGTGAAAAGATCTTGGGATAAGACAAAGACAAAAGTGGAAACTGTCCCTGCCCTTAAGAAGCTTACATAACATGAGGAAGGATAACATATACATACATAAGTATGTATACATATTTACACAGGTAGGTAAATAGATATTCTGATTTTTGGGAAGTCATCTAGCAAATAGGGAGAACCAAGAACACATACAGAAGGGGGTACGTGAGCTAAGTCTTAATGGAAACTAGAAATTCTGAGAGATGGAGATGAAAATAGAGAACATTCCAGGAATGGAGGATAGCCAGTATAAAGGCATTGAGTGTTGTGTATGAAGACTAGTTAGAAAGCCAGTCTGACTGGACCACAGAGAATAATAATATGTAACAAAGTGCCTTGGCACAGAAGGCAGCAGCCAGATTGTCAAATACTTTAACTGTCCAAAAGAAGTTTATATTTAATCCTGGATATAACATAGAGTGATTGGAGTTTGTTTTTTTTTTTTGGTGGGTGGGTGGGGGTAACTATGCAGTATACACTTTGGCAGCTGTGTAGAGGATGAACTGAAGAAATGAGAGTAAAGGTGTGTAGGTTTGGGGGGGAAAAGTCCTAATAAGGAAATCCGAACTACAGTTGTGGTTCTGTGAATGAAGAAAAGAAGATGTGTGATTCAAAGGCAGAGTTTCAATATAAGAACAATGAGGGATAAGGTAAGACCAGATTGTGAAGGAAACCTGAAAGTCAGAAGAACAAACCTGAAATTTCTTCTCTAGGCAAATAAGGTTATTTAAAGTTTTATATCACATGACTGACACGATCAAAGCAGTGTTTTAAAAAAAATTAATCTATGGGGAACAAAATGGATGATACAAGAGAGAAACTAGAGACCAGATACAAGACTGCTTATTAATAGTAATATAACAGTATAGATCTGATCTGGGATGTTGATAATGAGAATGGATCATAAAGATCAAATGGGCATTAAGGGTAACTAAGCAGCACAGTAGATAGAGTACTGGTCAGAAATCAGGAAAATTTAAGTTTAAATCCAGCCTCAGACTCTACTAGCTGTGTGACCTTGGGTAAGTCTCTTAACTTCTGTTTGCCTCAGTTTCTTGAACTATAAAATGGGAATAATAATAATAATAGCATCTACCTCCCAGGATTATTGTGAGATCAAATAACATTTGTAAAGTGCTTAACAGAGTGCCTGGCACACAGCATCACCTATATAAATGCAATACTTAAATTGATCTTACTGATTCAGGAATTTCCTTTTAAAATGCAAGTAATATTAAAATTGTTTTTACATGTAATTAGGGAAAAAATGAAATGTTAAATTAAAAATAAATAAATAGATGAAACAGACATTTTATGGGGCAGCCTGGAATTAGGAATACTTGAGTTCAAATCATAATTCAGAAACTTACTGGGCAAGTCTGCCTCAGTTTCCCCATTTGTAAAAGGCAGGAGTAGTAGTAATAGTACCTACTTCCCAGGGTTGTAGTGAGGATCAAAAGAGATATAATTGTAAAGTGCTTAGCACAGTTCCCAGCACACTGTAAATGCTGCATAAATGTTAGCTGCTATTATTATTACAGATAGTTCTCGCTTTATGTAAGTGGACCATTAGACCTCTACATAAAGCAATTTTTAGCAAAGTGAATTTGCCTATGGATGTGGGGGACGAATGAAGAGAAGCAAGAAAGGGCTGGCACAGGATCCAAGGACATGTGGAAGCCACAGAGAGAGAAGCAAGAGCAGAAGGAGGAACGAACATGTGGGGGCTGTAGCCAGCCACATGAGAGCCGGGCCAGAACCAAGAGGAAAATCACTCAAGGTGCAGACACACAGGGGCTGGACACGAACACAGACAGAAGAGGATGGGCGACGACACGTGGTGTCCAAACGCTGATGGACAGAAAACAGACACACAGGCAGAGTAGGGCAAAAATCTCCTCTCTCAGTGCCGGAGGTCTCCAGTCAAGGCCCCCAGTTTGAAGCATTAGTGGTAGTCTATTCATCCATCCATTCTTCTGCTTTCATTTGGAGGGTCTATGTTTTAGGTTGCTTTTTTTTTTAAGTTTTTTTCCTTTGGGGAGGGAAGGAATTAAATTGATTCTGTATCATTTTATAATTGATTCTATTCTGTAATTGATCCTATTTTGTGTTACTGCCCCACTGTGTATACCTGTTCAAGCCACAATTCTTCATCTATTTGTCTATGAGCTAAGTTTAGAAGTTCAGTTCTTCTGCTAATCACTATTCTAGTCTTGCCTCAAGGAAATGTTATCCTTGAGGGATGCAGGCCTGGTCCACTATCTCTAACCTTGCAGGTAGACTCAAACAATGAACATTTCTTAGTCAGAGTTTAGTTCCTCCTCTGAGTTAGTTAAAAGAAAACTTGTCCCTTATACCTACAGCTCCTGGAAAATTCCATGACATGTTTGCTAACTTTGAAGGCCTACAAGTTGATCTGGTACCTTTCCACAAGATTCACTGTCCATCCCTGCCTGTCCTTGTAGTATTAAGGAGGGTCTTCTCTCCCTTCTAGGAGCCAAGGAGTCTGCTATTCCAGATCTACTATCAAGGGTCTCAGGATGCACATGGGTCCCATGAATCAATCAAGCATTCCTCTAAGACAGAGAGGTATGGTTACTAGTCCCATGTAGGTGTGTGTTGTCCTTACCCCGATGATGCTGACAGCCCTACAATCAACTGCATTATTTTCTTCACCTACCCAACTCTCTTTCTTGTTCTCCTGTACTTCCCAAAACTATATATGAAAGTTAATAAGTCCTACCTCAGGTCTTTGGTCATAAGAGAGGCCACTGACCCAATTTATTGGTTATTGCTAGCCTAATTAATAAACTGATCATACTCAGACAACTGTATCTCAGTTTACCTTAATTCCAAATCTGATGGGGGGAAGGGTGTGGAATACTAAGCTGAAGAGCAGGAGTAGAAAGAGAAAGCACAGTACTGTATTATAAAATTAACATAGGTTGGCTTTTTTTTGCAATGTAGTCTCAGAATTCTTTATTCAGAATTTGTATAATATGAATTTACATAAAGTGAGAACTATATTAAAAATGCATATCACCATCTATCCAACAATACCTAGTCTGATTAACTCTTGGTTAAAAAGTTCTCCACAGGGGATCCGCACAAGAGTTGAAAGCTGTCTTTGCTTTCTCTTGCTATTACAAGGGCACAAGCGGAACACTCTGGTTACCACTTGTCATCCACTGCTCTTGACTAACTCTTCTCTTTCTGTCATGCAATTCTCTGATAATATATATCCTTTATTCCTGTCCTTCAGGTTTTGTTGGTATATGTTGCACCCTGCTCATATCTACTACCCATCTTTCTACTGCCGTCCTTATGATACTCCTCTAGTTCTTCAGACATTGCATGTCTTGTTTCCATACAGCAAATGCTTGTAAAATGTTAGAAAAAAAAAAGACTTTTGCTTTCATGAGAAACTAGAGGGCAATAAAAGAGTTGTGCAATTTACTATAAGCAATCCAGACTGCTTTTTTCTTTTTAGACTCTGGGGCCCAGCTCACCATCCCATGCATACTATATGTCCCAGATATACACACTGCTGGAGAAGTTCTATAGTATGTCCATTTAAATGGATGCTGAAATATGGACAACACATTCTTTATCCGTTTGGCATTTCCTGTAAGGATTAACAGGCCTTTTTTGAGTTATCACAGACCTCCTCCAGGAGGCTCACAATGTTTTATATTTAGCTTGATGTTTATCATAACAGGTTCATTTAAATTGGACTTTTTGTTCTTACAACACCCAAGGAGTCCTAAATGATCTGTATATGTAAATGGGAGACAACTTGATGTAAAAGCCGAGAAGATGGCATTCTGTTCTCCCAGATCAAATGCGTTCCCATAATTAAACAATACGTACAACTTTTAGTTAATTACGAGATGGTAAAGTTACATTATTGCTGGCTTGCCAATCCTATGTTAAAATTTTGTGAATTACATTTTCCATAAAATTTACAATGTTTTCCTACACATTTCTATATAAAGACTCTATGAAGAATCTTATTTTGGTTAAAAGAGAAGGCTGTAAATAAAAAACACCCAGTATTCAGACACTATTTTCCTCAAAAATGTTGATTCAATTCCAGGGTACTAAAGTTGAGCTGTTTAAGAGAAAAAACTATCAGTGCAAACTGAAGCACAGAGCAGTTCCTTGAAAGGTAGAATCAGGAAAAAATATGGACCTTTAAAAATTACACAAGAGTGCAATAAAAGTTTTAATTTTCTTTTTCCACACTTATGGAGAACTGCATTTTTAACTATAACTAGTTTAATATACCAGTAAGTCAATCAACAAGCCATTTATTAAGCCCCCACCACATACTATGTTAATTACAATAACAACATTAGTAAGAATACTATAAAAGCTAGTATTTATATAAGGCTTTAAAATTTGCTTTAAAAAGTACTTTACCAATATGATCTCATTTGATCCTCACAACAACCCTAAGAGGTAGATGCTATTATTATCCCTACTTTATGGGAAGTGAGGATAAGAAGTGATTAAGTAATTTGCTCAGGGTTACACAGCTTTTTATTAAGTGTCTGAGGCAGAATTTGAACTGAGGTCTTCTTGACTTCACATCTAATACACTGCAAACACTTTACTAAATTTACATAAAATAAGCACAAGGTAGTTTGTAAGGAAGGGCAGTAGTAGAAAAAAATCAGGAAAGGCATCATGTAGAAGGTGGTACTAGAACTGAGTTCTGAAAGAAATTTGGAAAGAGACTCAAAGAGGCAGAAGTGGGGTGATGGTGAGATTTGCTCAGGAAAATCAATCTGACAGAAGTGAAAAGGATGGATTGTAGAAAGCATATATACTTCAGCGGGGAAACCAATTGAGAAGCTAATGCAACATCCAGGCAAGAAGTAATGCCTATGATAGCGGCCATGTAAACAGGCATAGTGGATAAAATGCTGAACTCATCCAGAAGACCATAAGTTGAAATCTTGCCACTTAGAGTGTAGCCTTGGGCAAGTGACTTTAACCTTCATCTTGCCCCAGACACTTACAGTTATAACCCTGGGCAAATGACTTTACCCCTCTGAGCCTCAACTTTCTCACCTGTAAAATAGGCACAATAATATCACTTCTGGGCTTGCTGTGAAGATCAACATAAACAAATGCAATGTGTTTTATAAATTTTAAAGTGTTAAGGGGAAAAAAAGTGCTAGCTATTTAAACAATAAGAAACTATTGCACTTACTTCACTTGCTAGAATGTTATCTTCTGTTGTAAGGATCGAGAGAGAACCTAAGGTAGGCACTTTGTAATTCTTGAATCAATATATAAACATTAACTACTAAAGACAGTAAAATGCGTTGAGTCAGTAAAATCTCAAAAACTTTAACTTGCCTCCAGTAAATCTTCCCCGAAGTACAGACTCTAGTGTTATTTCATCTTCTCCAAGGGCTTGAATAGTCACTTCTGGAAACCGCAGCAGACTGCTGGTTACTTGTGCAGTTAGGTCTCGCATACTTCACTGTAAATACATAATACTACAATTAAACACACTTTTAAAAAAATACAACTACGCCACATTTTTTCATCCCATTAAAAACAAATCTGATTTGAGATAATTCTAATGGAAATGCGATCATTGGCATACTGCACTAAAGAGAATCGACAGAAACGTGAGTAAACTTGCAGGAAAATGCAGTATGAAGAAACAGGAAAAACAAATGCATGATAATAACGTAAATGAAAAATAAAAAAGAGGCTGAACTCAAGAAGCTCCCTGTAGGCAAAAAAACTAACAAAAGCTCCAGTTCGGCATTTAAATCTCTTCACAACTTAGCTCCAGCCCATTTTTCCAGATGATCACACGTTTACTATACCATGACATACTATACAGTCCAATCAAACTAGCCAGCTAGCATATCTCATCTAAGTAACATTCTCGTTTGCATCTCTGTGCTTTTGTACAAGCTGCTCCGTAACTCCTTACACCCACATGCCTGTAATGTTTCCCCTCATCTTCACGAGCTCAACAGGTTTTTAAAACCTAACTCAAGTGCCAGCATGCTACAAAAGGCTCCCCCCCCCTTATTTAAATGGTCTCCCAAATTACTTCATTTTGTATCTATGTGTATGTGTGGATGTTTCATTTTTTCTAAACTAAACTAAATTAAATTAAATTGACCAATCTTTGAACTGCAATAACAGTCAGGTTTTACTTAACCATTTGTTTCTTGGAGTGCAGGAGAGCTACAGAGAAGTAAGAGTGGAAAAGGAAGCAATGTAACAGTTTTTGTTGTTGTTGAGCCTGGTAATAATGTCTTCTTCAGAGGGAGTTGAGGGCACTGAGAAGCTAAATAACTTTGCCCAAGATCACACAACTAATATGTGTCAAAGGCTATACTCCAATCCAGCTCTTCCTAACTCCTAGCGCCACCAGCTCTCTATCCACCATGACTCTAAATACTGAAAAATGACTTAAGAAACAAAACCAAGAACAAAGATATCAGGAAAACTTTTTTTAAAAGAAAAATAAAAGCTACAATTTCAAAGCAATACAATAGTCAAAGAACAGAATGTCAAAAAAAGATAAACTGCTTTTCGAACATCAATTACTAGGTCTAGATACAATATTACTATATTCCATTAGTACAAGTATATTGAAAGATTATATATAATGAACTATTTAGCTATCCATAATACTCAGACTGCTGGGCAAAATAATCCAAACAATTCATCATATCCTCTTTCATTCATGAAACCTGGTTAGGGTCAATAAAAAGTAAAATTTACCTAATTTTCCCTCCCTCTCTAGCTTCAAATAAAATTTCCAGGCGAAACATTAATGAACAGTGAAATCAAAATGTTGGCTGAAAATATGAGAAATAAAAGATCCTGATTATCTACAAACTGGATAATTTATCAGTTAATAATCAAGATAAGTTATACTATTTCAGATAGAAGTATTATGTTAATGTGTCTTATAACTTCAAAAAAGTACTTTCCCCACAAAATATTAAGATAACTGTAAATATTATACTACACTACATAGCTTTTGTGCCATTACTTTTCCCTTGACCAGTGAAGGTGCCAGAAATCAAGTTGTATTCCTGTATCACTGCAGATCACTTCAAACATATACATAGAACTTCTGCCTAAAATAATTGAATATACCTATTTCAATGTACCCAATAGACAGGGGCTTCGCCTTTATATTTTGCCCTCCAAAAATATTCTTGGTTTGCCATTTTCTAGACATGAGAGATTTCAAAGGTATTTCTGAAAAGCACTGTATTTTAGCGTTGACTATCACAGTAAGAAGTAAGACATCTTTCCTCAATACTTTTATTTCTAAAGTCAACTTTTTATGATGTGGTTGTAAACAGAAGATCTTAAGAGCAAGAATATCACTGATCTATGAGTTAAGTGCCCTTTGGGGATTAAACACCAAAAAAATCTGCTTATGATATATAATTTAGGAAGAACAAAAACCAGGCATAGAACAAGATTTATAATGCGCAAAACCACCTGCTAAGCTTATTTTATTTCTGTTCACCAACAGGAGGGAGGCAATAAACATTTATTAAAAATCTAAGAATAGGGGCAGCTAGGTGGCACAGTGGATAGAGCACTGGCTCTGGATTCAGGAGGCCCTGAGTTCAAATCCGGCCTCAGACACATAACACTTACTTAGCTGTGTGACCTTGGGCAAGTCACTTAATCCCATTGCCAAGCCAAAAAAACCCCCAACAACCTAAGAGTGACATTAAATGCTTTAAAATTTTATTTTAAGACTGGCATTAAGTGCTTTAAAACTCTATTTTTCTGACTCTTACAACAACCCTGCAAGGTAGGTGCTATTATTATCATCCCCATTTTTACATATGAAGAAAAAGCATACATAAGCCAAATGACTTACCTGGGGACATGGAGCTAATAAATGACTGAGGCCAGATTTGAACTCTGGTCTTCATGACTCCAGACCTAGAACTCTATCCACTGTACCAACTCTATCCATTGTACCTAGCTCCCAATACTGGGAATCAAAGGAAAAGATAAAAAATAATAGTAGTTGGCCACTAGATCCTAAATTATGACACATACCTTTTCTAAGCCTACAGCTGACTATACTGAACTTTTTAATTAAATGTGTCCCAAAGAAGGAAAGAACATTAGATTTGGAGTCAGACGATTTACATTCAAAATGCTAACTATTCTATGTGACCCTAAGTCTAAGGGATTGGACCCAAAGATCTTTATAATCTCTTCAAACTCTAAATCTACGATGCTAGACATATTTCGATGAACTTATTTTTCTCAAGTAAAGGAATTCTATTTTTTTCTCACCTCAAGCAGTTCTTAAAAGCCTTAATAGGCACTGTCAATATGTCTATTTGCCACACTTTATGTGATGTTGAATGTCAAGAATTCAAAAAGGATTTCAACAGATACTTAAAAGATTCAAATTTAATATGAATATACAGTCATCCCTAGATATTTGCAGGTGTTAGTGGCATAAGACCCTTGGGAATGTGATAAATTACGAAATAACTCTAGGCTACACTCCAAATGTTTATTTTAATAATCCTGATCATATTTAACATACAAAACAATTAAAACCACACACTGCACACGTCAAAAAAAAAAGGTGCTGTTTCTATGCAAGAGATTAGTATCTCACACACTTTCCAGAGTCTTCGCAGCTGCCTGTATAGCTCCCGCAACTGCTTCAGATTTTCTTCTCCTAAGAAAAGCTCAGAACACAAGGATCACTGCCAGAGAAAATCACGTGACCAAGTGCGGATGGTAGAGAGACAAACAGGGTATTCCCACAGAGTGCTTAGCTCCATAGTTCTTTAGCACACTGAAACCTTTAACAGAAATTAACTGTTCATAACAAATTTCTGCATGTATACTTCTAGTAGCAAATGATAAAAAGATGAATATATAGTATTTATTATATCATTTTAAGTTTTCTTTACATATATGCTTTGCTTCAAATCTCCAAAAGTTCCTATTTAATGGGAATGTGGCCAATACACAAATAACCAAAACTGTGAATGTAAAACCCAAAAATATCAAGGGATGGCTGTATTTATTGAAGAAAAAACATTAAATCCTGCACAAGGATTCAAAAATCAATTATTAAAAACACTTTTCATTAGTTATTTAGTTCATAAGAATTCAAACCTCAGGGGGCAGCTAGGTGGTACAGTGGATAGAGCACTGGAATCTAGAGGACCTGAGTTCAAATCTGCCCTTGGACACTTGACACTTACTAGCTGTGTGACCCTAGGCAAGTTACTTAACCCCATTGCCTAGCAAAAAAAGAAGGAAAAGAATTCAATCCTCATTTTGAAAATTTATTTTACTGACTGTTAAGGGTTAGGTTTATAATAAAAATGTTTTTAAGCCAACTGCAGGAGCACAATTTAAGGGAAATGTAGAGCAACTTTTGGAGTTTTAATGAACTGCTAACAGTAGCAATTGATTTGAAAAAGAAAACATACAGGAAGGATATAATAAAAGTTCCCCCTCCAATTATCTGAAGTGATGGAAGGTACAAGGAAGAGATTATATCTACTGTGTGCCAGGCTAATTGTACTAAGAACTTAAAAAAAAATCTAATTTGATCCTCACATTTTACAGTTGAGTAAATTGAGGCAAACAGAAAAGTAACTTGCCCAAGGCGATACAGCTACTCAGTGACTTAGGACACTTTTGAACTCAGGTTTTCCTGACTCTAGGCCCAGCAAACCAGCTGACTCTAATGATAGCACTACAAGATGAATAGGCCTATTCTGTGTATATCCTGTGGGGAGAACTAGAATAAGTACAGCTTACTAATGAATAATGTCAATACATAAGGAAAAACTTTTTAAGCATCAGGCATATATAGCCAAATATAAGATTGCTAATAGAATATTTGATGCTGTAGTCACTTTGAAAGTAGACTATGAAATTAAAACTCTTTTAATTAATGTTGATGTAAGGGAAAATCTCCTAATAATTAAAAATGTCCAAAAGTAGAGTGGGATGTCTTGCAGGGTAGTGAGTTCTCCATCACTGGAAGTCTTCAAGTAGAGATTAGATGACCATTTTTCAGGATGCTTACTTATCAGGGATGCTGGACAGGGAGTTCCTATTCAGGTATGGGTTAGACTAGTTAACTTTTGAGGTCCCTTCCAACTCCAAGGTTCTTGAAGGTCTAAGAAAGTATTAACATTTTCTTTCCCTTCATCATTCCCTTGGTTGCTAATGACAAGGATGACACTGATTAATACATGCTAGTTTGTCACTATGTAAATACAAGTTCTGAGTGTATGCTCTATAAAATCTGTATTTTTCTTGTATTGTGATTTTTGTATTTTTTTTTAACATCAGACTTACTGTTCCATTGTGTATTCATTTTAGGTTAAACTGCCTGAAATGTGATTTGAGATATACATGTTTGTTTGTATTTGAAATGTAAGCAATCACAGCTTGAAATGATAGATATTTCTCACCGGCTGCTGTATTGTCTAT